AGTCCCGATCGGTAGAGCTGCTTCAGACTGGAACATGAGAAGTAATGACAACTTTTACACATCTCCATCAAATGTCATTCATAGTTAATGAAAGCTTTGAAACTTATTTTCCAAAAGGGGGCGGTGGGGTAACCTAGTGGCTAAAGCGTTGGCTCGTCACGCCGAAGACCCGGGTTCGATTCCCCACATGGGCACAATGTGTTAAGCCCATTTCTGGTGTCCCACGCCGTGATATTGCTGGAATATTGCTAAAAGCGGCGTAAAACTAAACTCAGTCAGTCAGTCAGTATTTTCCAAAAGCAAAACATCAAGATGTTTTTGTTAAAACGGTCTGTAAATAATCGAGTCTGAACCAGACAATCCAACTGGGATACGATGTCATGTGTGAACCAAGTCAGCGAGCATGACCACCTGATCCCGTCAGTCGCCTTTTACGACCAGCATGGGTTACTGAAGACCAATTCTAACCCGGATCTTCACGGGTCATGCCATGTGATAAACTCAGGGGTGACAATGTAAGGGTTACTGGTTTCTGGTTACTTGTTTCAGTTTTAACAAAGACTTCTAAATTCAATCAGTTACATAATTACAAGAACTAATACTTCATGTATGAATATGTGAACATTTTTTCGTTGTGTAAATACTCCAACACGGACACAATGTTTGTGACTTGCAAGTCACAGTCAAAAACTTCTCAAAATATTTACGCTGGTTTCATATACCATACTCACCATGTGTGTACTTTCTTGTGTATGTCACTTTATATAATCTTTATTACTGCTGCTTTATAAGAAACACGTAAAACCCGTATACGGTGAATATATTCAAATAAAATTCATACATATGTGAAAAAATAATGGCATTATCAGATTAATGTTGTATGTATGGGGTTCTGTGTATGTGTGGGTTGGAGGATGGGTGTATGTATGGGGTTCTGTGTATGTGTGGGTTGGAGGATGGGTGTATGTATGGGGTTCTGTGTATGTATGGGTTGGAGGATGGGTGTATGTATGGGGTTCTGTGTATGTGTGGGTTGGAGGATGGGTGTATGTATGGAGTTCTGTGTATGTATGGGTTGGAGGATGGGTGTATGTATGTGCATATGTTGAAAATTCGTGTGTTTTGGAAGGGGTGGGGATGTATGCGTCGCTTCATACGTTTATATTAGTTCTATCAGCGACAAAGACTGTGCGCAACCAACCCGTGATGCTGTGTAAGAAAGACGTGGTCAATGATTGGTATCGGTACATGTTACATGACAATGTGATAAACTCTGAGAAATTACAAGGGAAACAATGGGTAGAATTATTTCGGTTTTAACAAAGATGTCACAAATCTATTATTTTGTTTACGTCAAGTAACATGTGATGGAGCTAGCAAACTGATACTTCATGTATGAATATATGAACACTTTTGGAAGTAAATACTCCAACACGTACACAATGTTTGTAACTTTTAAGTCACAGTCGAAATATTTGTCAAAAAATGTACTTTGATTTAGCGATTTGCCACCTTACACACCATCCGCGACAGAAGACACTCACATTATGGACAGTGCGCCACAAACCTCGCTAATGTTGTGTAAGAAAAAGCGAGGTCTGTGATTGGTATGGGGAATCACAGAGTTTGGGCGTTGTACTTATTGTATATAGTTTGGGCGGAGTATTTTGCTTAGGCTTTGCGACATTGCCCCCCATACCACCTGACCGCGCTATCAATGCTTCGCCTCTGTGCAGTTATATACAGTCATGCCGGAGCTCATTCAACATGTAGGTATCGCTACATATTTTACATCTAGTAATCTTATCACGAGCTTTTAAGAAATTATCCGTCACCAGGGGTTACACTGGTTCATATACTCATTTATGGTATTTTAAAGTTCATTAACTGTTTTCTCTTACCCCGTTAAATGTCAATAATGTGAGTTATTCTCGCAACTAAATATCAGCAGAATGTGTTCAAGATAAATATAGCTCCACGAACATTGCGATGACGTAGCGTTAGAATAAAATGATAGTAATAGTTGTGCTACAGAACGAAACCTCTTTTGAACGCAAGATCCGTTTGGTGTGTCACTATCCCGAAGCAATGATGTATGAAAATGTTTATGAAACATATAGATATAAGCGTGCCTTTTCTGGTACAGACATGTTGTGTGTCGTCAATAACTGAAAGTGAAAGTAGAAACTTGTTGTTTAACGCCGCATTCAGCAATACTCCAGCTATATGACGGCAGTCTGTAAATAATAGAGTCTGGACCAGAGACAATCCAGTGATCAACATGAGCATCGATCTACACAATTGGGATATGTGTCAACCAGGTCAACGAGCCTGACCATCCGATCCCGTAAGACTCTCTTATGAGACCAATTCTAACCCGGATCTTACTTGTGCGCTAGCAGAAGCAGCAGCTGTGCCGAGGGTTTTAGTGTTTTGTTGTGCTAACATAATGCTTATATAGCGTTTCTGATTTGAGCAACATTCTCGGCCTTAGCTGCTGACAGAACGGATCCAAACTTTGCACATCAGTATTAAGTCATTTTTTTATTCAGCAAGGTAAAACGTATTTTTCGTAAAACATAAATGCAAAAAGAAACGCAGATGTGTTGTCACAACAAATGTTTATTGTTGGCATAAGTCAGTGACCTGTAATAGCTACAGTACGTGCATGAAATGTGGCAAATCTCGAGGCAATGGTCGGATGTGCCCACACAATGTTCTGCTTTAAGATTCTATTCTAGACATACTCTTGTTGTGGTAAAAGTCACACCCTCTTGATTATTCCCCCAACCCCCCTTCCCTATGAGTTTCTTGATGGATTGGTTGGTTGATTGTTTAACGCCGCACTCAGCAATATTTCAGCCATATGGCGGCGGCCTCTAAATAATCGTGTCTGGACCAGACAATCCAGTGATCAACATCATGAGCATCGAGCTACATCGATCTACACACCTGACCACCCGATCCCGTTAGTCGCCTCTTACGACAAGCATGGGTTACTAAAGACCAATCCTAACCCGGATCTTCACGGGTGATTCCATGGCGGGTGGTTGGGAGGTTATGTGGAGATCAACATGGCTGACGTTGTTTTACCACAGTGAAAACACAAGACTAAGAAATAGCATTCTGATTAGGCCTGATGGCTTAAGTAAAACATGAACAGAGAAATATATATAAAATCAGAAACCTTCATATCCGTTAAAATGCTACATTCTACGAGACCGTTCATTATGTTTGTAGGTATCACAATTGCTTTCAGAAGAAGCAAAAAACAAAATAATGTACATATATGTATTTTGGTCTAAGACATGAAAATACGGATATCACCTGACTACACAACACTAATTACGAACTCAAATGACACAAAAAACTCTATATGCATAATAACATACCATCTTCTATGAGCATCACTACAATAATTGTTTGATCAGGGAACTTGCTGTAAGTAACATATCAAATGATATTAAATGTAAAGTTAGTATGTTAACTGAGGAAGAAGTCTGTTGAAACCGTTCATCTGTGCTATCAACATTTGGCTTGTAAAACTTTATTCATTGGGCTTTTAGTCCAGACATTTAGTCTTGTTTGTTTGTCATGTAATGATACACTCAGCAAGTACTGCAGCTACATGGCGGCGGTCTGTAAATAATCGTGTCTGAACCAGGCAATTCTGTGATCAATATCATCAGCATCGATCTTCTCAGCTGGGATACGATGACATGTGTTAACCAAGTCAGCGAGCCTGACCACCCGATGCCGTCAGAACCCTTACAGCAAGCATGTAGTTGCTGAAGACCAATTCTAACCAGGATGTTCACGGGTTTAGTCCAAACACTATGACCATTGGTACCGTTACATATCAAGACAATTTGCCTAACATGAAAGCAAATGCCATCAGTATTTCACAGATACACACGTGGAATGCTGGACATCCTTACTGATAATATTCATGCAATGTTTTAGTAAGACAATTAGGTGCATTCATCCCTAATGGAACAAATCGTGCTCCAATTTTGCAACGGATTTTGTATAAACTCCTACTGGGCTTAGCAAAAAAACAAAAAAACAAAGTAATTTGGTCAGGAGGTTTAACTTAAGCTTCAGGTCCATCGATGATCCGATACATAAATATAAAACAGCCATGAAACAGCAAATACAATGTACCACCCTGAACTAGAGTGAGTGAGTGAGTGAATTATTATTTAACGTCACATCGGCAATATTTCAGCCATATCGTGACGAGAACACTTGACATTGAAATAGAATATATATAGAGATTATAAAACCTGCCGACAAAGGACAGTAAAGCAACTAGAGTATCACAGATATATATGAAAAACTAGTAATTGAATCTAAAACATTTTAACTATAGGGGACAACACAATATAAAAATGGGCTATAGATCGCCAACAACTGAAGGTAGATCACCATACTAGGAGCCCCACCCTGAACTAGAAGTACAGGCAAGAAGTTAGATAGAACCATCCATTTCTGATTTAGATATGGTCATAAAGATTCCAAGTGACAAAATACTTTCGACAATACTGTATGACAAGATGGGCAGTCAACTTTCAGATTATGTCATGCAAAACTCCAGTGGTTTCAGTCTTTGTCCTCTACGTCTCAGTCTTTAGGGGTCAATAGAACATGCTCTTCTACGAATATTTAAAAGAGCCTCAAACAGCGCTTGCCTAAATGTGTTAGATGAAGGTAACGCTTTTCAAGACCTTAATGCTTTTCAATATGTTGGTTGATATGTGGAAACCGTTTCCAAATTTGGCGCATCAGTGACAAGTGATTTGCCTTTGCATCTGTACATGAATGTTGCAGGCGAAGGGACAATATGTGCTCAACTTTTCAAGATCAACGGTTTTATCACAGGTTATCGATACATAGGATATGTTCCTATAGTAGTATAGGGCATATCCTGTGTATCGATAGCCTGTGGGTTTTATCACTGTTTCACAATGATTCATTAACAACTGTTCAAGAGTCAGTCGGTACCATACAGTTTACTCCACTTTTAGCAGAAACTTCTTCTAGCTATGGACAAGGTTCAGCATTATTTAAACATTATCATCTTCGAAGGGCGCATGTTAGTATGAGGGTGAACGCACAACCAAATCAAGCTCTTCCATGATTTCGTCCACCACCACATCCTCGTCAGTGGACGTGTCTACAAGTCTGACTGATACCCCCTCATTGTCATCTGGCCTGCCACACATCAGACATACGAAGTCCCGTGCACTTGTGATCATTGCAAAGGTTTCTTTAGCTTCCTCGGACCATTGGTTGCTCCCGTCAGATGGATCAACACCTGGAACAGATGACTGGAGCAGCTGCAAATTATGGTTGGTTGGTTGGCTTGTTGTTTAACGCCGCACTCAGCAATATTCCAGCTATATGGCGGCGGTCTGTAAATAATCGAATCTAGTCCAGAGAATACAGTAAACAGCATGAATATAGATCTCCGCAATTGGGATACAATGACATGTGTCAACAATTTAGTGAGTCTAACCACCCGATCCCGTTAGTCGCTTCTTACGACAAGCATGGGCTGATGAAGATCAATTCTAACCCGGATCTTCACGGGTTGCAAATTATGTTTTGGAAACTGGTAAAATGTATTCCAGCAAGCATAACATATTGTATTCTTGAGCAGGACATGTTTACCCTTTTCAAGTACGTATGCTGTCATCACATTTTTTTCAGTGATCCAGTCGCACAATTTTCAGCTCTAATCCCTTTTTTGCTTTGTCTTACATTGGAATCAGATAATCGGGACTGGTTGTCCTCTGGGGTTAACGTTCTAGTTTACAGTCTGAAATATGACTGACTAATTATACTGTTGGACAATTTAAGATAATTCCTATGTGATATCTTCAGTGCACGTACAAATGACAGTTTTGGATACGTGTGTATCTACATTCCATTGTGAGATGTTTACAGAGATCATAATGTCATAATTGCTCGTATATAACATATAGTTAGAAACAAAAACGAAATGAGAACGAAATTAACCAACCTTGAAGTCGTGCTTTAAAACTACCGAAAGGAAGGCTGTGAAACCTGTTTGGTAGTTCCTGTAGATTACTCATGCTGAGCTTTACATCAAAGCAGTAATCAGCCAAACAAGTCATAACCTGAATTGTAAATGACAAAACAAGGAACTAGGACTTAGTTAACAAGCTTTCAGCAATATTTGAGTTATGATGTGCCTGCTTAGAGTTGGAGCAGCAGAACCTAACGGTTATTTCGCTCATCTTTTCAGTTCGTATTTTATCAATAGATTCAATCAATGCGTGAATGTATACCACCATTTGAAGACGTGTTGAAGTCAGCAAATAATAAGATAATCAATATTTCATTCTCACCTTGTTGTCTTCTGAAAATCCCTTAAAGATAACACGATACCAAGTGTCGTCATAGTTCCCCGCATATACGTCACCTTGGATCAGTGACGCCTTTGGGATTGTCTACAGGAAGAAAAGATGAAAGCAGAGTAAGGCAGATATGAACCCTCTTTGAGGAACGATGATAAAAGGGAACAGTGTACAATATTAAAACGACTTGAATTTTGCATGTACATATGTACGTTTGTAAATTTGTAAAGAAAATATGTCTTCAATGAAAGCGGATACTTTCAAAATATTTTTTCACACACATTCTCAAGACACATCTACATTATTTATTATGGACCTTAAAAATGTGTCTGACAATACATCATAGTATACATTTGTTTGTGCATTTAGTTTAAATAGGAAAGGCTTAGTTTACATACACTTGTTTTAGCGGCAAGGTATGCGTTAAGCTCTTGCATCATCGAGTACAGTTTCTGGTGATGATTATACGGGATACACTGCAACAGGAAACACAAATATATGCAAAGACATTTCTACCATGGACTGAATGTAATATGGTATATGAAGGTTATAGTAGCGCACAATGACTAATATATATCATGAGTGAGTGAGTATGGTTTTACGCCGCTTTTAGCAATATTCCAGCAATATGTCGGCGGGGGACACCAGAATGGGCTTAACACATTGTAACCATGTGGAGAATCGAACCCGGGTCTTCGGCGTGACGATCGAACGCTTTAACCACTAGGCTACCCCTCCGCCCATATATATCATGAAGAGTTGGATAACTGTAAATAATAACTGCATCAGAGATGTTTGGGAGTTTGGGACATCACTTAGTAAGGTGGGTTTTGATTGATTATTTACTATTTGATTCGTTGATCGTAATATTAGGAACATATAATGAAAGAATGTTTCTTACACAAAAGAGTGTTGGGCTTTCCGACCATAATACATGAACATCCCAAAATGTTCCTTCTTTGGGTATGCAGACTGTGGAAATCCTTAAACATTGAATAGATTATTTGTTGAACGCATTTAGCATAGATGGCAAACATGAAACCTTAATTTTGTCAATGAAGAAGCATGCATATGTATTTCAATACTAAACAAAATGTGAAATGTCTAAAAGCTTTTACATAGAAGGAGATATTATTGTTGTATTTATCAATGAGTTGAAATTTTAAGAATTTAATGAAAACACATTCTTAACCGACCCCTAAAATCTAACGTCTAGGCGCACGTGTACGTGTATGTCCTGTAATTACCTTTGCTTCATGGCGTGTATATCTTCGTCTTGTGGATTCTAAAATAATAATAATCAAAACATGTTTGTCCTTCTATTTTACTTGCTGTGCAATAATGAAAACAATTAACATTATACGAGAATTCCGGTGTTGGAAATATGAGTGAGTGTGGCTTTTAGCAATATTCCAGCAATATCACGGCGGGCGAACACCAGAAACGGGCTGTACACATTGTACCCATGTGGGAAATGGACCCGGGTCTTCGGCCTGACGAGCGAACGTTTAACAACAAAGCTACCCCAGCACCGCTAGAAATAGGAATGCCCTGATGTGTAACAAACAACATACTGTGAAACTTGTGAAGAATAGACTCACCGTATGATCGCGTGATGGGGATGCTCTTGGTGTTAACGTCATAATATCTCTTCCTTGAACACTGACAAATACAATGACACTATATTAGACAAACATTTTATCAGACCTTTGTATATACATGCCAGAACACGCCAGTGGAAACAACAATTTTAATACCTCGAATGCTGTAAAATTGTCACAAAAGACTATACTGAAAAATAGTAAGATAGTAGTACAGAGTATAGTAGAAAGCGTTTCCTGGTTATGAAAACCGCCTTCTCGTAACACCTACCTTTGTATTTGAACCACATTAGGCCATGACCGTAGTTTGGTAATTAGATCTTCTGGGGCAGAAGCACCAAAGCTTTCTTTGAAGAGACTTGGGATGTCTGCCATCGGAATTCCGCTCTGTCTTTTACACAGTTCCTTTAGCATGATTGAAACATTGAACCATGAATGTATGGATCCTCTCAATGTAATCTTAAATAACTAATAGGATATCTCAGTAACATTCAATATAGCTTTGTATATACACTTTGTAATATGTAATTATCCATCCATCCATCCATCCATCATACACACACACGCACGCTCGAGCTCACACGCGCGCGCACACACACATACACACATCATACATACGTATGAATTCGTAAAAACATCGGTAACCAAAACAAATATGTAATTACCTTCTTCAGCCAAATCCGAATAAATTTGTCCGGAACAGTTGCAACTTTTGGCATTGATTCCTTAAAATGAAAGTCAAAATACTGTTTGATAACCTAGATATTCCATTCTTACATAATCTATGTGTTAGATGTGAATCATAAATTCCTTTAAGCCCCACATTTAATGTTTGAAACAACTATTGCTTGGTTCAATATTTACCATCGCATTTTCCTTTTGTGCAGCGAGGAATTTATCTGACAGGCGTACGATTTCTCCTCCAGCAATACTAGAAAGAAAACGTAGGAAGTTATCTGACAGGCACAAATAGCACTGAAGTGTGGAAGCTATACAATTAGTACATTAACCAGATCATAAGGTGCTTTCGGGAAATATAACCTTTATTTAGTCAGTGAAGAAGCAGCCATATTGAATACTTAACAAAATGTGAAATAATAGAAGCTTTTATCTCAAAGAGTTCTGATATGTATAGTCCGTTTGATTTCATTTGAGACCGATGAATTGCTCACTAAAACAAAATCTAATACTAGTAAATGCAACAAGATCAAACTTTGCACAGTCACATAAACTCGACAGACCAACTCTGATGATTTGTTTAATAATTTTGGACACACAAATAAAAAAGTTGTTTAACAAACGATCATTATTTTGTTGTAACTTTTCGCTATTTCTTACGAGGGAGTGCCACTTGCTGGTAGAACAACCAGGTGTGCAAGTTGCACCTGTGAAATTGAAATTTCACTACACACACTTGTTGATTATCTGGCTGATCTACCAGCAAGTGGCACTCCCTCGTAAAAAATAGCGAAAAGTGACAACAAAATAATGATCGTCCAAAATAATAATCAGGTGTCCAAAATTATGAGACAAATCATCAGAGTTGGTCTGTCGATTTCATGTGACTGTGAAAAGCTTGGTTTTGTTAGTGACTTTGTGTTAGTGAGTAATTCATCGGTCTCAAATGAAATCAAACGGACTGTATATACCCAATGAAATTATTAGGTACTGAGGGAAGAGAAATTTCATTGGCAATACCAACCTGTCAATTTGAAACAAATCAGACCAGCACTGTATTTTCCCGATTAGGTCATCTGGCGCATTGACCTGGAAGCTTTCGCTGAAGAATGTCCGCAAATGTTTTTTCCATATCCCACCTTTGCGTTTGGTCAGCGTCTGTATAATGTGCGACGGTTTGGTGGTATCATGTGTTGAACAGAGTCATTGCATGCAGGTGTGGAAGACAAAATGGTTTGGGGCAGAATTCATGTAAAGGGGCGATTTATAGATTGCCTCCTACATGTACATCTAAACGGGTAAATTTACTTTTAAAGACATAATTTATGTTTAAAAGATTTATTGGAGAAACTGGAAATGCGAGTAAAGCGGCGTGGTTTCTTATGACTTTACTGAAGTTAAAATCTCATGGTTGATTATATGTAGACCTGTGTACTAAGCATTATGTTAAGTTAGAGATGATATTTTAGTGTAAACCTAAAAACGCTCTTTAATATAAAGTGTACAATAAATAGGGATAAAGCTCAAGGACTGGCTATAGCAATTAATTCGAATTTTTACACGCTCATACATATGTACAAATAGCTTGCTTCTCTCCGTTTGTTTAATCTCGCAAAACCTGCATGTCGAAATTACATACTCTCATTGCGGTTTAAATTCAAACATGGAACTGATAATTGTTTGAGAGTTAGAAATACGACTGTTCAAACGGGACCCTTTTACACTGAACGATATATGTGGCAACATGGGTATTCATCTGAGGCAAAAGACTTTTGCAGTTTTTGTAATGACACTCGCACCTACCTGTTTTAACCAATTCTTGATATCTTCGTCTGATACAGTGGATTTATCTCCTTCTTGGACTGATAAAAAAAGTGTTTATTAAAGCTTTGATATATAACTATATAGCAAACAAGAACATTATAGATGAAGGAGATGAGCAATGATGTGTACCTCAGATCGGTAGTACTGTGGTAACTTAACCACGCGTCTCTTTTCAGGATTTCTATTGATTTACGTTGTTATACTCACTATTAGACATTTTCCCACCATTTGCTTCGGATGTCATCTGAGGAGAAATACAGAAAACGGTCAACATTTATAGCCACAATACGATTTATTGATAATTACAGCAAAGCGGTCAAAGCAAGCTTTCACAACATGAGCTCTTAGGCTTATTGTGGATACCAATAGTCCAGCTATAAATATGTTGATTGCTTCAACCAAGTTCAACCATGTAAATACACTTGATGTTTTATCCTGGTAACCTTATGTCTTATCAATATGGACACCAATTGTTCTTCCCTGCTTGCAGAACACTGCGTGTGTTTGTTGTTTAACGTCGCACTCAGCAATATTCCTGCTATTAGACAATCCAGTGATCAACATCATGAGCATTAATCTAGGCAATTGGGATACGATGACTTATGTCAACCAAGTCAGCGAACCTGACCACCCGATCCCGTTAGTTGCTTCTTACGACAAGCATGGGTAATCACGGGTCTCTTGCGGAACTGTTTCATGCTACATACGAATGGGAACTTCCGCTAGGATTGTCCACATGTATTTCATTTAAAGAAGATAAAAGAGCGACAAAAAAAAAAGTATGACAAGAAGGTGGATTTCAAGAGTCAACATTCCTTTTATGTAGAGCAATATTCTAACAGCTTCAGTCTTTAGTGTAAATTACACAACATATGAGATGACGTCAAACATGAAGTTCAAGGAAGATTGTCAATTTTACTAATAAGAGATTCACGGGAAGAAGCAACTTGGAAAGAATGGAGCCTTACCAAACCCTTATCACACATATATGACATCGCCAAGTGCAGTTATAACAAAAAGCGTTTATAATGCAAGCGGCAAAGCCCTTTCCACCTTCATAGGAAATCTCTGCTAAAAGCAGAGTAGAGTGAGAATCTATCATGAGCTTATATTTGTTTCAGCAGTATTACAGCTGATCTAAGTGAAATGGGAGTGACACTTCATGTTGATTACCCTGCGTGTTGATGCTGTTTCTTCAACGGCTTGCTTCAGGATATCCCCCCTTCCTCGTCCTCGACCTCGACCGGGGCTAACATTGGGCTGGTCCATCCTGTACCTGTTGGTGGATTTACGTGTCTTCGTTTAGGATCGAGGTATGTAGTCGTGTTTGTTCTTTGATCTGTGCCTGTTCTGTTGACTGGTTTCTGCTCTTACAATACCTTTCTATGCCAACAGACACACCCACAGGTGTTTATAGGAAACTGATGTTGGCAACGTCTGAAAACACAATTATCTTTTATTAAGCCCAACCGTGGTCGATTTATATTGTAGTGATTACACAATACCAGTCACAAAAGTCGTGATCGATAGTTGTGAATATTCAATGTACTCTGTGGAACTACGTTTTCAAAACCATAATCTTATATTGTGTTACATTATTACCAGGGATTTCCTCGTAAAGCATATACTTTACATTTTTATCTTTCAGTCTTATTCGTTTTAAATTAGACAGCAGATTTAGATTATAGGATTTTCCAGAAACTGAAAAAGCACATCATCATATGGAAGTCTGTCACAAACAACAATGGAATGAATGGGTACTGACGTCAATAACATAGTCATCCACAACAGACCGTCACATCCACATAAACTGAGTTCAAATCAAACTAAGCATCGATGATATTCATGCAAAGGGTATCCGTGTATTCGTATTCTTAATTATTGCAAACATGCTGGCTTGATTTGAGTTATAAAAATATACTCAAAGGCAAATATTATTTACATGGATAATTTTCTTAGAAACATTGAAATGTTATTATATTAACAAGGACGTGTGTATATGCATATACAACTATGAAAATAGCATATTAATTTGGTAAAATCCTGCCAGAGACTGGCCATAGCGCGGAGAGTTTTGGGTTTCCAGAGTGTAATTGTGGAAATGTTTTGTTTGTTGTATGTAATTTTAGTGTACATAAGACAGTCATCGTATCCCAATTGCGTAGATCGATGCGCATGATGTTAATCACATGACTGTCTGGTCCAGACTCGTTTATTTGCAAACCGCCGCCATATAGCTGGATTATTGCTGAGTTGCGGCGTTAAACAACAACCAGACCAAACCAATGACCACATGAGGATAAAGCTACCCCATTCACTTCAATTTACTGTGTAGTGTACAGAAATTGTATCTATACCTATTACATCTGTTACCATCACATAAACTAGGGAACAAGGACTTGGTGGGGAAAGCGGTCGCGGTGCTAGGACCATCGTAACTCCCCTACCTTTTAACATAGACGTACACGGTGACGGTGCTGGGACCATCGTAACTCCCCTACCTGTTTAACATAGACGTACACGGTGACGGTGCTGGGACCATCGTAACTCCCCTACCTTTTAACATAGACGTACACGGTGACGGTGCTGGGACCATCGTAACTCCCCTACCTTTTTAACATAGACGTACACGGTGACGGTACTGGTGACGGTGCTGGGACCATCGTAACTCCCCCTGTTTAACATAGACGTACACGGTGACGGTGCTGGGACCATCGTAACTCCTACACGGTGCATGGTGGTGAGGACCATCGTAACTCCCCTACCTGTTTAACATAGACGTACACGGTGACGGTGCTGGGACCATCGTAACTCCCCTACCTGTTTAACATAGACGTACACGGTGACGGTGCTGGGACCATCGTAACTCCCCTACCTGTTTAACATAGACGTACACGGTGACGGTGCTAGGACCATCGTAACTCCCCTACCTGTTTAACATAGACGTACACGGTGACGGTGCTGGGACCATCGTAACTCCCCTACCTGTTTAACATAGACGTACACGGTGACGGTGCTGGGACCATCGTAACTCCCCTACCTGTTTAACATACTGGGACGTAACTCCCCTACCTGTTTAACATAGACGACGGTGATCGGACCATCGTAACTCCCCTACCTGTTTAACATAGACGTACACGGTGACGGTGCTGGGACCATCGTAACTGCCCTACCTGTTTAACATAGACGTACACGGTGACGGTCGCAGCACTATGATAGCGTTGTGAAACGGGGTCCAGGACAGGATGGGGTGACAGAAGTTGGCATAAATGTAACCTTAAACTCAGTATGCAAACAATGGTATCTTTGTCCTGGCTGGTATTAACAAATCCTTGTAACAAAATACTTCCTGGTGTGAAACGAGACCCGAGTAGTCCAATCAGTCCTAGTGGTGTTCAGTCAGCAGCTTGTATAGCACAGATATCCATCATGCTCTAAATCGGGAACAGGTGCAACACATGTCCAAGCGTGCGTTTAGTAGATGACCTTGACGTGGCATACTCCTTCATGTGATAAGTTTGTTCTGCGTTGTTATTACCAATGCAGTGTATAACGTTAATATATACCCGTAATATACAAATGCTTATTTTATTTACATAGATCCATAGTTTGGCATTTAATCTGTCTAGACTAACAGATCTGTTATAATGATTTAGCCATAGCCTAGACTGACATATTACATACACTCCCCTATACCCGTGCACTTCCACCTCAATCCCAAACCCAAATGTACGTCACAGTTAACACGGGATATTTGATATAGCTGACATATGTTTAAATACCTAATTTTTGAAATAGTTGACATATGCTTCACCACCTAATGTTTGACATAGTTAACATATGCTTCACCACCTAATGTTTGACATAGTTAACATATGCTTCACCACCTTATGTTTGACATAGTTAACATATGCTTCACCACCTAATGTTTGACATAGTTAACATATGCTTCACCACCTAATGTTTGACATAGTTAACATATGCTTCACCACCTAATGTTTGACATAGTTAACATATGCTTCACCACCTAATGTTTGACATAGTTAACATATGCTTCACCACCTCCTATGTTTGACATGGTTAACATATGCTTCACCACCTATGTGACATAGTTAACATATGCTTCACCACCTAATGTTTGACATAGTTAACATATGCTTCACCACCTAATGTTTGACATAGTTAACATACATGCTTCACCACCTAATGTCTAATGTTCACCACCTAATGTGACATGGTTAACATATGCTTCACCACCTAATGTTTGACATGGTTAACATATGCTTCACCACCTAATGTTTGACATAGTTAACATATGCTTCACCACCTAATGTTTGACATTTAACATATGACATAGTTAACATATGCTTCACCACCTAATGTTTGACATATGTTAACATATGCTTGCTTCACCACCTAATGTTTGACATAGTTTCATATGCTTCACCACCTAATGTCTGACATGGTTATGACATGTTTGACATAGTTATGTTTCACCACCTATGTGATGCTTTAACACCACCACCTAATGTTTGACATGGTTAACATATGCTTCACCACCTAATGTTTGACATAGTTAACATATGCTTCACCACCTAATGTTTGACATAGTTAACATATGCTTCACCACCTAATGTTTGACATAGTTAACATATGCTTCACCACCTAATGTTTGACATAGTTAACATATGCTTCACCACCTAATGTTTGACATGGTTAACATATGCTTCACCACCTAATGTTTGACATAGTTAACATATGCTTCACCACCTAATGTTTGACATAGTTAACATATGCTTCACCACCTAATGTTTGACATGCATATGCACCACCTAATGTTTGACATAGTTAACATATGCTTCACCACCTAATGTTTGACATAGTTAACATATGCTTCACCACCTAATGTTGACATGGACATATGCTTCACCAACATATATGCTTCACCACCTTCACCACCTGTTGACATGACATTTAACATATGCTTCACCACCTAATGTTTGACATAGTTAACATACGCTTCACCACCTAATGCTTCACCACCTAATGTTTGACATGGTTAACATATGCTTCACCACCTAATGTTTGACATGGTTAACATATGCTTCACCACCTAATGTTTGACATAGTTAACATATGCTTCACCACCTAATGTTTGACATGGTTAACATATGCTTCACCACCTAATGTTTGACATAGTTAACATATGCTTCACCACCTAATGTTTGACATAGTTAACATATGCTTCACCACCTAATGTTTGACATGGTTAACATATGCTTCACCACCTACATGTTAACATATGCTTCACCACCTAATTTCTGACATAGTTATCATATGCTTCACCACCTAATGTTTGTTGACATTGATATTGCTGACACAAACTGAAACAACCCGAATCTAGTGCGAGTGTCCTGTTGAGATCAATGTAACGCAGTAATGTCAGGCTGACCCAATACGCTCATCGAGCGGTATACACAACCTCAAGTGAAACACGAATTACGCAACACTCACACACTATTGGACAGTAGACATACTTACATAATACACACATACTTTGAATCGACATGGAGGACCGCCCTGGACACCTCAATGTTGAATCGATTGTATCGACATGACTCCAGACCGTCATAGTAATCTAGTTCACAGCGAATATGAAAGTAGCACGTCTTCCGAGAACCTATAAATGATGCACTGTACCAAGAAGTACATGTATAACTCGAATTGGTGTCGAATGTACACAGCTGCAATTGTCGACCACGACCGAGTACTTCAGTTACACACAACTGGAACATAAATACAGCACTGTCGACAACTGAGGCATGGTCACGTTGTTTGCTAGTTTTTGTTGAACAAAATTTCTTTAAATTCTCAGAGTGCGGCGTAAAACTTAACTCACTCACTCACTTACATTCTCAACGGACATTATCCTCCATGTAAATGTAAAGTGTACGGAACTGAAAATAGAGTCAATGTTGTTTTAAACAATATTTGAGGATGTGAGTGAGTTACGTTTTACGCCGCACTCAGCAATATTCCTGCTATATGGCGGCGGTCTGTAAATAATCGAGCCTGGACCAGACAATCCAGTGATCAACAGCATGGCCATCGATCTGCGCAAGTGGGAACCGATGACATGTGTCAACCAAGCCAGCGAGCCTGACCACCCGATCCCGTTAGTCGCCTCTTACGACAAGCATGGGTTACTGAAGGTTCATTCTAACCCGGACCTTCACGGGTATTTAAGGATGTGACAGCATGGCATGTATGTACTCGAATGTTGACCAGGGCCCCGTTTCACAAAGCTCTCGTAGCGCTACGACTATCGTAAGTCAATGTTACAGTATAGGAGGTAGGAATGCTATGAGGAAAGTTACAAGATCTTAGGCTTAGCTTTTGAAACGGGATCCAGACAGGTAGTTGATTCAAGTTCTTGTTGTCGGGGTAGGCCGACGCACTATCTAACATTACAGGAAAATAAAACAAGGTATACAGATTTTCTCTGCATTAAATTATTCATACAACCTTGAACTTTCGAGATGACGACAGTATTTCCAATTCATTTTGTAATGTCGTTGGTTGACAAAACCCCACTTTTTTCAAGACGAAACCATATCTACCTTACCATAACTACAATTTCATTTTGATTTTCATTACTTTTCATAAATTAGCCCCCCAACTCTGAAAAGCGTTCCTACGCCCCTGTACTGTATCAAATCTACAACGTTAAAGAACATGGATTCAGTTCGATCTTGTTTGTCGTTACCTAGATTGCACATTCACTAAAAGACAGGGTGGTGGTGGAATTGGGTTTAACGTCGTGCTTGAGAATATTTCGCTGTACCATATGACGACGTGCATGCGTGTGTATGTTAGACTTGTGCGATTTTCGCTGCTGGTTGTACTAGCCCAGACTGAAGCTGGTTTTATAGTGCTAGCCCACTGAGATACCATGCCGCAGTGAAGCATGAATACCCCACTCAGACACATTATACTGACTCCGAGCCGACCAGTCCTTGTTGTACCCATTAATACCGAGCGCCAGGCAGGGACCAACAAGTACCATATTTTAACGTCTTTTGGTATGACGCGGTCGGGGATCGAACCCGCGACCTTCCGCACTCCGGGCGGACGCTCTAACCACTACACCACGGAGGCGGTCTAAAAGACAGGGAGAATTACTCATAGCGTTGTGTAGCAGTGATATAGTTTGTGTACCAATGTTCCTAGTGTAATACATTGTACTTGTTGACCTACAGTAAGGCGGCGGCGGTGTGCTATGTTAGACTTGTACTAGATATAAACAGAAAGATCTGGAAGGACAGTACCCTACTAGAATCAGTACTTTACTGAGAAAGTGTAATCCCAAATACTATTGTCACCGAATCTCTCACTTCCCGGCTATGGTTGATAGCAATGGGTTGGAAAATATATTTTTTGTTCAGGTTGAGAGACCTTAAGTACTATATATATAGTTGTATTTGATACCGGAAGTGACGTCATAACCGGAAATGACATTACAAGATTGAATTAGAAGATACTCAACCTAGAGAGTGAAGTCAGGAGCTCTGGAAGTGACGTCAAGAACCCGAAGTGACGTCATAGGACCGGACGTACGTCAAAGATCCGGAAGTGACGTCATAGTTACCGGAAGTGACGTCATCAAACTGGAAGTGACGTCATACTTACGGAAGTGACGTCATAATTTTAAGGAATATTAGGTTTAATGACATATTTCGGGATTCGGATAGAATCATGATACATTTATAGGAATCTATCGTAATCCGGATTTATGGCGTCAGAGATTATATAATCCCTACTATGACGGATTAGAATTATCATAATATCTATTATATCAACCATAACTGTGGGAAGTTAGAAGACTCACCATCTCTGGGAATGTATTCCCTCACTGCTACTGACCAATCTAGAGATAAATTATTTATCTCTGACTAAGTCATAGTTATTCTTAGGAGGTTGAGTAATCAACTCTCAGGTGGTTGTATAGAGGGTAGTATCTTCCAAGGGTAACCCTCCTTCCTTACTTGGGATTCAGGCTACCATAATCCAGAGGGAATGTTTACGTTATAATTAGGAACGATTACATGTATTGTTAGTAATTGTTATTAAACTGACCTCTGGATTATGGGGAGTAGTTCCCACCCTGTGTCCTCCCCCGCGAAATTATTCTTAGAAGATGTCATAGATGTGTTAATTTTTTTTAAAAATTATGAAGGGTTCTAGGAGAACAATACAGTGACGTCAGGATCAAGGGAGATAACTCAGGGGTAGATTAGGTATACCACTAGGAATAGCTATGACTTAGTGATAAAATTTCTTTTGATTTTCTGTATGTATTCTGTGTATCCATGGGAATAAGGCTACCATAATCCAGAGGTAAGTTTACTAACAATTTCTAACAATTGCAGTCGCAACGGTCGCAGCCGCCAAAGTTTGTTTGCAGTGCGACTCAGCTTTTGGGGGAAAACATATACAGACAAATTGACAGGTCTGAAACCTTAAAAAAATATATGCAATAACTCCTTCTTTCAGAGTATCTGCAACAATATATTATTGTGTTGACAAGTTTATAACGGTTAGATAATTAAAAAGCGAAAGTGAGTTGTGATTGGTACGTTCAACTTCCCAGCGTAGACACCTGATTGGATAAAAAGCCAACCAAGGGAGGTAATAAAATCATCGGGCCGAGCCGTAGATGCATCCAGGGTATAGTTTAGAGTTATCGTACCGTATACCCTGGAGATGATCGGGGATGAGCGCTTAGTAGCAGCTTTGAAAGTACAATTTCGTCAGGGTAACAATGTAGAGAGCAGCAGCGTGTTGGATTCTAGGCGCAGAAAGTAGCATTATTATTATACTAAGCCATTATATTTCGAAAAATGTCTTTCGGTCATACAGTCCTACTACTATAAATTTGACTAAATGTTGGAAGAAATGGTTCTGAATGGCAATGAAAGGATATTGCATTTTGCTGCTGTAGACCCTACTAGAGGCAATATTAAAAAAAGATTGAAACCTCTTTGTTATTCAGGCGCGGTCATAGGTAAGGATGCAAGTTTCAGCTATATTGTTCCAAGTGGTTACCTGACAAGACATACCACCGGCATGAGTCACACTCAACTGACTCACAGTCAGGGGATCCAGGAACAAAACGACAGAACCTTGACATTTACGAGTACAATAATAAGAAAATTTAAAAATCGGGTGTTCATGGTCCTAGCTGGCGTACATCAGTCGTACATGTGAGAGCTTGAGGTGGTTGGCTGGCTGGTTGTTGTTTAACGCCGCATTCAGCAATACTCCAGCTATATGACGGCGGTCTGTAAATAATAGAGTCTGGACCAGACAATCCAGTGCTCAACATGAGCATCGATCTACGCAATTGGGATAAGATGACATGTCTCAACCAAGTCAGCGAGTCTGGCCACCCGATCCCGTTAGTCACCTCTTACGACATCAGGGGTGGCTGAATTCCACTTCTAACAGGGATCTTCACGGGTGTGAAGTCATATCTATAAAGAGCTTAACGGATCGCAGTTTCTGATACCATTGCATGTTATTTCAGTGAAAGATCCAGGTATGCAATAGTTTTAACAGGGCAGTGCATGTGCGTTTGTGTGTGTATTCAAACTACATCACGACTGCCAGTGGTGGTTTAACAACTGGAACGGCTATGGTGTTTTGTGTCAAGGTCAATGATGGAGACGGGCTGTGTGTAAATTACGTGTATCATATATAACAATCAGTTGCTCTATAGGTTTGAGCTATATTTGCCATTACACGTGATGGTACCATGCCATTCATTCACAAGCATATAAAGCGGATGGCACGTAAATATAAAATACTTGAGGGCAAAAAGAAATCCAGGGCCCGCATGTGTAATTGTCATGTGTACATGTGTATGCATTATTTCTATAAATAACGTTAAAGGTATCGAATTAGTTACCCAAACATATCAGCCTTAGTTCGGTAAACACACAGCTTTATGCTGTTCATACAAGGAAAGGAGGCCCACAGCTTTGCTTGGCCTTGTATACTACCCAAGAGAATCCAAGGAACAGTGGTAATTTTGGGTCAGAAGCTTTTAGTTAATATGCTGGGAAATTTACAGAGATAAGGTGCAAAATAATGATGTCATTTGATCGACAACTGGTAATGGTTTAAAGGTCACATTATGTTAGGACGATAAACCGATAGAATTTTGAAGGGTTTGAAGTTGGAAATTAACAAATAACGCATTTTTGAGTTGCAAGTTAAGGCTTCCACAGGTCTTATTCTACCGAATACACCCAAACCTTCTAGTGCACGTGAAAGTGCAAATCTCCTTGAACATCATACACAAATTTCCCTTCTAAGCAACGTTTGGAACACAGATCAATCACATGTTGAAAACCATGCCTCAACATCGCCGTCTAAGCATTGCTGACAGGGGGAGAGCTATTGGGTGGATCCAGGAGGGTATTGCCATACGTGAGGCGGCGAGAAGACTTTGTATCTGCAATGAATTGACCTTAACCACCAATAAAAAATGTCATCGTATCATATGTGTTTTCTTTATAATAAAAAACCTAGGTGTTCCTTGGATTCTTTGAGTAGTATATTATTAATCGTTTGTTCTTTTCCTTGACTATTGTTAACCTCCCTTATGAGGTACAGTGAAAAATGCGTTGCGCCAAATCTAGACTTGCCACATTTTCTAGACTTGCGTGGGATTTCTTGGATGAATTTGCTTCGGGGTCTGTATGACAGACTAAATCAGAGCGAATTTGGGATTTGACAACCATAGCAATTTGAGGACAGTATAATCCATCGCCTTGCCCTACTGGGATATTGCTTATGTGGTTCGAAACATGCTCGGTGTCCCATTACAATAAAAAAAATTACAAGGTCATCCTTAAATTCTTCCTGATTTGTTTTCAAGAACACATACTTCAGGTTCATGCACTGACACTTTGCATGACTTTCCATGATAATACATCACAGTTCTTACTAGAGGTGATAAAATGGAGAAGGATGATCAAGCCTTATCTATTCTCCTCCAACATATAAATCACCAGTAAAATCACTGGCATGACCTTATTACTTTTCCATAATGTTCTATTTTCCCCAACTATTCCGAGTCTAAAAAACTTAATCCAAGATGCCACTTTTCCATGATTTCTAAATTACATGTGTAAATTTACAGGGAAACTTGTCAGTGATATAAACAAAACTGAAAGTTGTTGAAAATTGTTGTAAATTCAAGTAAACCTGTTCAGACATGCAGCGTCCGTTACGCCAGGAACCATCAGGTGCAATTGGCATGTTAAAAGTTGGACCAAGATAGCAGTGTGGCACAAGACTGTTTCATCAGAAAGACAGTGTTACCATGGTCAAAGTGCCTCTCGAATTAGAGATGAGATTCTCAGAGTACAGTGCTGAGTGGACAAGAGGATTACAAGCGGACCCACAGGCGGAACCTGCATGTTTGACGTCCATGTGTTATCCTACGGTTTTCACAATACTGCTGGGCCTCGTTGGCGTCAAGGGTGGCAGTGATGGACCTATCGTCGTTGGGCAAACGTTTCAAAAGAATCAAGTGTTTTTGGTGGACTTCTGGACAGGCGCAACAGAGAGAGGTCTAAACAGAATGACCGCTTTCATGTTGATAACGTAAGAATGAACGATCGTTTTTATGGGTGGCTCAGTAATGGTGTGGGGTGAGATCAATAAGGCTGGCAGAACAACTCTAAATGTTATTCAGGGCAGAACTACCGTGACTACATCCTGGGGGCACACGTTCTGTCATATTGTTTTATGCCGCTTTCAGCATAATCACAGCAATATCACGCAGGAAAACCAGAAATGGGAATCACACAATTTACCCTAGTGGGGAATGGAAAGTGTTTTTCCATAACCAGAATGGTACTCCATTAGAAGTAGAGAACTCAGCATGATAATGTACACGTGTTCTGAAATACATGCAGTCTAAGTAAACTTAGGCTCAGTATTATTCCTTACACTGCCATACTGAGTCTAACAAAACCTAGTCGCGTCAGCTAAACTTTTGGACTGACCAATCAGAACACAGCTTACCAAATCGTGAAAGTTAACATTCGCACACACAGTTTGAACCGTTACCTAAAAAACTCGAACGATTCTGAATGCTATTTTCCGCACGATCGCTTCCGAGTGATACACGCAATGAGTAAACACTCGCTGAAAATGGCGTTTTTGTCATAATTCAAGGATATCATCTTGCGAAAACATACGCAAATAGTAACCATGTCATTAGAAATCCATAAGCATATATAATGCAGGCCAAATATCTGTGTTGTATGCGGATTTTCGTTTGTTGATAGATCAGTGTCCAGGGAAGAGAAAATCCAAAACCCGTTTTGTAAGTCCCGCCGAACCCTAACAAGTAGTCGTTGTCTGATTGGTTAAATCCGTTCAGCCATCTCGACTGACTGACTGACTGAATTTGGTTTTACGCCGCTTTTGCAATATTCCAGCAACATCACGGCGGGGGACACCAGAAATAGGCTTCACAAATTGTACCCATGTGGGGATTCAAACCCGGGTCTTCGGCGTGACGAGCCAACGCTTTAACCACTAGGCTACCCCACCGCCCCTCAGCCATCTCGCTTTTGATTGGACGGTCATAGGTCGCTCAAAGGTTAGTTGACGCAACCTTGTACTTCATATCTCTGTGGTAAAGAGATAGGTGAATAGAAAAGAAAACCATGACCTCCTTTAAAGGAAAATAACGACTTCAAAATGCTTTTGATGTTTATTTTTTTTGTACAAATGTCACAAAACATCTAGTGCTTCATTGTTGAACAAATTCCATGTTAAAGCATAGAAGTATATTGAACAAAGACAAACCCCACATATCTTCATGTCAAATAACACTTTTCTCTTTACAGTAGTTCCAATGTGTATTTCTTGTCTTTATGAGAACATGTGGCTGTGATAGGTAAGACACCAACTGTCTCCCTTTACTTAATGGTAGGCAGCCATTGACTTGACCTTGCCCAGGTCCCGAATGAGAGAATGCAGGGATTTCTTGAGAGTTGGTACATCTCCAAGGATGGACTTGGCAGGTGCTGGAGTAGTCTGAGTCTGGTTTGTCTGAGATAATGACTGTGGTGCACGCTGGGTAGAATCGGCCTTCTCCATTGCTGAAACACACGAATGTCTGTATGCTGTAGTATGGGAACATGACAAAGATGGCAGAAATGGGGAGTGCGAAAAACCGAACTCACCCTGTCCCTCTAAGATTATACAACTCTCAATTTATCAATAGCTGCTGGTTCAAACCAATGATAAAAAATGATATTCCAACAGTTTTGTTAGTGGACCAGCTTCAGTAGATCATCTGAGAGATAAAACAGTGAAACTGAAGTATAAAGGCTGAAAGTCAGGGGAACTTGCAATCTTCTTGGTTTAAAAAAAATATTCAAATACTTGTCAAACACTAAAAAGGACCCTTTCTTATTTCTACTGCTGTGTAGGTGGGACTATTGCTTGTAATCGCAACCTCCAAGTCACAAAGCCACACCTTGACTACTTCTGAGATTGAAATGATATTGATGGAAAATCATCATGGACTCAAAATCTATCCTCTGTTAAGGAAGCTGACACTGCATCTGATTCACTGTCCTCCACATCATAATGAGTGAGCCAGTGAGAAGGTTTTTACGCCACGTTTAGTAATAATATTCCAGCAATATCACGGCGGGGGACACCTGACATGGGCTTCACACATTGTACCCTTCAGCATGACAAGTGAACGCTTTAACCACTAGTCTACCCCACTGCCCCCAACAGCATCATGAAGAAATACCGCAGATTGATATATGCTCATAAGTCACATCCCTTAAACGATACCTCCAGACCACTTGTAACCTCCGGTAAATAAACATCATATTCCCTACTTGTCATATTGCCTTACCTTCTATCTGATCCTCTATCAGGTCGAGACGGTCACTAAGCCCGGCCTGGACCCTGACAATGTGCAGCAGGAGTTCCCGCTGACATTCCTCAAACTCAACTTCTTCATCCAGAACATCTTCCTTCTCTGACTCTGGTAGCTGTCGTATAGTGACAAATGGAGAAATGTGAATAACTCTGGCAACTTCTAGATTATTACAAGACATTAGTCTACTCGCAGAATTCTGAAAGAGGTTGACCTAACTGTTTTATTTGGCTTTAGACTTGTGGAAGTTTGGAGGTTCTGCATAAATTTCAAGACCATGAACCAGTTGGTCAGTCGATAGCCTTCACTAACACTTATACCTTCACTTTGGAGCATGCTACTTGACAAAAGATGGAAGTACAGTCAAACTCCATTGTGTCAGAGTTACAGACACATACATAATGAGAATCAACTACAACCACAAAATTGTGAAAAAAGAAGGAATAAGAGGAACCAACTCTAAGCTTAACTTCATTTTCAATGTCCCTCTCCTTCAAGTTTCACTGAAATTGGATAAAGATGCCTCAAATTTACAATAAAAATTGCTCTTACCTCAACTTTGACTTTAAACTGTTCCATTTTAACTTCACCAGCCATGTCTGATTTTTCCAAATTGTCACAAGATGGCAATGTCAGGCTGTCGTCTGCTCCTAAAGAAGCAGACGGCCCTGAAGGGAGACAACTGATGTAACCAACAGATGACTCAGAGGCAGTCATGGTAGACGTATCACTGTCATTGTCACCCATGGATATGTCAAAGGACTTTTCATCTGATCGATCTAGACTACTCCCAGATAGATCTAATGAAGCTTGACAACCCATGGACTTCGACAAAGGGCTTTCCTGCTCTGCTATATTGGGCTTCTCTCTTTCAGCATTGTCAGTATCAAGAGAAAACGTTACCACAGTTGAAGTGTCATGACTTTTGTTAGTAGTCTCTTTTGAAACTTCATGTTTTGTGTTGTCTGACTCATAAACAGCTGGAGGGGTATCAGTGGTCAATGGGTCAATGGTATCAGACTGGTTCACTGCTGTCACCGTTGTAGTTTCTGTAGTATATGAAGCCGTAGTTGTTGTTGCAGTTGCAGCAGATCTTGCTTTCTTTCTTTTCTCTTCACAAACTCGTCTCCAGGTGCGCATCTCAGGGTGATTTTCATGGCTTAAATCAAAGTCATAAGTCAAAAACGTGCATTTCTTTGGAGGAACATCTGCATCAAGTAATCTTCACCAGCATAAGTTTTCAGTTTTGAATATTAGGCAAAAACATTTCTTGCAAACTCACTAAGTTCAAGGGTATTATTCTGCTAGTAATAAGAACCTATCAAGTTTCAAACATTCAAAATATTCTACAATATATTTCCACATTCAATATAAGCCTTTGCTCAAATACCTCACTGTTCTGAGTAATGTGTTTCATTCAACAATCAATTGGGCTGTCAGATCCAATACATTTTCTGAGTAATATTTAGTCAACATATTTGTAATTCAAATGTGAGTGATTGAGTTTAGTTTTACACCGCTTTTAGAAATATTCCAGCAATAACATGGTGGGGGACACCAGAAATGTGGGGAATCAAACCCAGGTCTTCAGCGTGAAGAGCGAATGCTTTAACCACAAGGCTACCCCCACCGCCCCATAATTCAAATGTACATAAATACAACTTTCCAGCGGTCAAAATGTACATAAGCACGCACTTCCAGAAGTAAAATGTGCATAAGTGTAACATTATGAAGCTTCTTATTATCCGTTTCAAAAGATACATGGTAAACCCAACCACAAATCACTACACCTGTTACTGTGGCAAAGAATGTCACCATGACAACAGCATAGCTATAACTCTAATCATACATGTCTTTTCATTTTACCTATCTCCTTCACAAGAAAAATAGTCCAAACATATTAGCGACAATAACTTCAAGACCATGTCCTCATTAATGTTGTTGGCACTCACCCAGCTACATGAATCTCCTGTTTGAGGGAGTGCAGCGCTGACTTCACGTTGAGGATGTCCCCGATGAGGGTATTGGTGGCCTTCACCGCCGGTGTTGTCACTGGACTGCTTGACATCTAAGAAGCTGAATGTTTTAAGACGTCCAGTCTTGCACCAGTCCTGGTCATGGATGTAACGCCGACTGTCACGAACTCCTAGTTCATGGATATAAACAAACATGTTCTTAGTGAGTGAGTGAGTTTAGTTTTACGCCACACTCAACAATATTCCAGCTATATGGCGACGGTCTGTTAATAATCAAGCCTGGACCAGACAATCCAGGGATCAACAACATGAATCCCTATCTACACAATTGGGAACCGATGACATGTGTCAACCAGGTCAGCAGCCTGACCACCCGATCCCGTTAGTCACCTCTTACGACAAGCATGGGTTACTGAAGATCAATTCTAACCCAGATCTTCACGGGTCAAAACATGTTCTTAATGATATCTGCAAAAGAATGTGCATTCAAAAACACCATGCATTAACAATCTTGCTTATGCCTAGGCTTCATAAGACAACGTTAAGAGTATATGAAAGACCATATTTATAGAACAAGTAGCCTTCATGGAATTGGTTCTGGTTACTAAAATTCAATTACAGTGAAGCCCCGTTAGTCCGGACCCCGATAATCCGGATGTCTCGCCTCCCGGACGATTTTAGCTTGTTACCAATCTATGCCTATTTAATTTGCCTCGATAATCCGGAAATTCGGTTTCCGGAACCGGACGGTAAGTAGCTGTAACCAATCAGTAAAATACACAGTAAATTGCTTCACACTCCGGACGCTGTAAGTCGTGTTCACGAACCATAACAACACCCCCTGAGCGATGTTTACTTAAATGGCCATAAACAATAAAAACTCGGTGTCATGGAGTTGACAAGATGAACTCTGTATATACCAGAACACATAACTTGTAAGAGAGGTGCAGGCTTATTTCTTTTTCAAATTTCAGTACCTTGAGCTGATCCTGTAAATACATAAACTATTGAGCTGATGACACAAAAGGAGGAACTTTAGGCGGGCGAACCAACTTTAGCTAGCCAAAATGACTGCTAGTGAAGTTGTACTTTGTTGGTTAACAACAGAATTTTCCTGAATGACCTTGTAGAGCGGAGGTGGAAGCGATTCAGCTTTCGAGGCCTTCCGAGCATGTGGCTGATAGTGATCCCCAAGCTAGTGGATCTGGAATTGGAGATGTAAGAATCCCTACCGGCAGTTGGGAGTTGAACCGAGTGGCAAAACAGAATGGACCTCACGGTCGGTAGGATCGGATAAATTATGCAACCGAAAAATCAGGGCAGGAGTTGCCACCTGTGGGCAGGCTAGGCGACTGAACGCAAGTGGCAGGCCGTCGGCAATCACGCATCTTTTGTTCGAAGGGAATATGGCACAGGGAAATTGATCTTGTGCCTTACCTGGTGGGTTTTCACACACAAAGCAGATGTATTTAGACGGCAGAGACTCATACTTGATACTGAAACAGCTGGCATGTTGCCAGCAGAGGCACACATCACACTGGAACACAAAAACAAAGAAACTCTTCACCATCAGAGCTCAGTGACACAGTTACAGAACAACAACTATAACAAAACTGCTGTCTCCCACCACGGGCCACATCATAACTGTATTTGTTCATGTAGTCTGACTGACTGAGTTTAGTTTTACCGCTGCAATATTCCAGCAATATCAATTGGGCTTAACACATTGTACCCATGAAATTGAACCGTTTCGGCGCGACGAAAAACCACTAGGCCTTGTTCAAGTGGTGAATATAACAAATTAATACTGAAAAGTTCGAAAAAGGCCTTTAACCTGCAATAACGAGCGAGGGACATAACCCTGGAGAGAGTATTATTTAAAGCACCAATGCATCGACTTATGGCCACAAACATTGCACTGACTTTTTCAGCAAATATTCCTGACAATATCTTAACTGGTTCATATGAACAGAGCTACAGATAACTTTTTGGGTCATTGAGTTATGTACTCGCTTGTGCTCATCTCAATTGGGTATCCTAATTTTCCTTTAAATAACCCAATAAATTGTACCCACCTGACTGAAACTCAATCAGGTATTTGCCATTTTCCATTAATTGTAAAAAATATAACAAAGTTTAAATGTTGGTTTATGTGTTTGTTATTTATGTTTGATCTGTAATATGAGAAACGATAAGAAAGACTGCAAGATGCCAAGTTCATGTCCTGAAATAGAATCTCTCAATATACCTCAGTTATTTCATCTATCCACTGGTATGCAAACTAAGATTTGAAATTTTTGTGTGTACGCATACAAGATCAAATTTATTGAGCATTTACAAAAATTCAAGCGTACTTGTACGCAAAAGACATAATAGGAATTGAGTTTTCACATAAATATTAGCGTAATTTACGCAAATACGTAGCTGATCTGTACCTCTGTATGAATCAATATCTTCAACCAACAGTTGAGCAACAAGTCTCAGACAAACCTTTACACAATACCGCTGTCAGTTTACTAACTTTTCCTGCTTTTACAAATGATCTATAGGTACATTTACAAGATTTACTAGCTCCTTAATGAAAAGGAATTTCATAAGCTGAAGCTGTTTTTAATTAAGCCAATTATTATCTGAGGCCTTTGCTAAAAAAGTCAGTGGCCATAAATTGATGCATTGGTGCTTAAATAATACTTTCTCCAGGGTTATGTCCCTTGCTCGTTTTTACAAGTTAAATGCCTTTCTAAGGCCTCTGTCAACATACAAATGAAATAACATTCCATTTACATTTACCAAACACCTCCCTAATTGTCCATGTGTATTCATGTCAGGTACCTGTATCATCAACCCGTTTTCTTCATCGTATCCACACACACAGTTGACCACCTCCTCGGATACAGCCTCATCCTCTGTTTCCTGTAGCGACGCTTCCTCTATCATACTCGTATCAGCGACTGCTGGCTTCCCCATTTCTGCTGGGCCAGGTGTCACAGGAGTTGCTGGGATCAAAGGTGTTGCCATGGCAACTTTCTCTTCCTCTACTAGCCAGGCAAGAAGAACAATGAGATTATTGTTGATAAAAGTGCTAAGGTAAGTTATTTTCCTTTCTGTTTCCCTTTCAATAGCAAGACATGACTTCAAGTAGCGATTAATATCCTACCATGCGGAAACAGAATGATAAACCATAAAACCAGATACGTTATTGTTACTTTTTTTTTAAAAATGTTATAGATACACACAATGCTATATATGTATAACCAAGATTCAACCCCACACATTGGTAGAGCTTAGTGTTTAGGTGGACGTTCATTCCTTCGTCCAATTCTGTATCACATCAATATAAATATAATCAAGGCTGAACAAAACAAACAATTGACTTGTTGAGCACCCAATGATCTATGTCACAGGATAAAATGATCAGTCATTTAAAACATACATGAGGCCAAAGGGAGCTGAAATCCCTACAGAAGAGATTTTGTTTTGTTTGTTTGTTGTTTAACATTGCACTAAGCAATATTCCAGCTTGACTTGATTAGCAGCCAGTGATTCATGTCACAGGGTACAACAGACCAGACAATCCAGTGATCAACATCATGAGCATCAATCTACGCAATTGCGATACAAAGATTATGTGTCAACCATGTCCACTCGGTCCCATTAGTTGCTTCTTACGACAGGCATGGGTTGCTGAAGACAATTCTATCCTGGATCTTCACTTGTTAATGAGGCACAAGGGAGGAGTTCTTCCTTGAAATCCCCACAGAAGTAATGCTGCTTCAAGAACAGAGTGCTATCTCCCCCAACTTTTACACCAAAATGTCCACATATTTACCTTCAATCACTTCCTCTTTCTTGATTTCAGCCACAGGTTCTTCCTTCAGAACCTCACTTGCAGACGAGATGTGGCGCTTGCGTTTTGCTGAACTAATTTCACCTGGAGTTGTCTTCCCCTTGGAGGACACTGATATATCACTGTCAGTGGAACCTGCCAAGGAGACTGAAACATTCAACACTTGCTGCAGCACTCCCATATCAACTAGTCCATGAGACACTGGGTGACAAGTCAATTCACACTGTCCTTACATATATACTATAAAATATAGAAGTAGGCGACTTCACATCAGAAGTTTTTCAACTTCATCAAACAGTTTGAAAACGTTTCCTCCCTTTTTCACTTTGAAAACTGTATCCTTGTATACTAAAGAGAATGTATTAATTAACATACTTCTGATGAATAATTCCATTGTGTGACGTATCACAAAAATTACACATTGTAAACTTGGTTGACGGATATCAACATACATCTGGAATCTAATGTAATTATGATCATTTGTAATATAACAACATCATTATCAACATCATCTATTGAATGAGTTGGGCTCATCACAACTTCGAACAGTATTCTGAACCATCATCAGTAATGATAATAATCACCACCACCATCACCATCATCATTAATCATCATCATCATGTTAATCTAATATCATCATTAGCACCTATTGTGATGCAGACCTTATACACGTGTACACTGATGATGCTCACATATGCTGGAGGTCTTGCGCCTCTTGGTCCTGGAGGCTGGAGTCTGTGGAGTGCGGGGTTCTTCTGTGTGGTAGTACTTGAAGTGGTAGTCCAGCAGGCTCTCCTTCCGGAAGCTCTTGGTGCAACCAGGGATCATACACTTGAACAGGTTGTGATCTGGCTGTATCACAAACTCCTTGGGGGCTAGACCTCCAGCTGTAAAGATATCATGCACCTGATAACCAAACCATTCTCCTTCCATTTAGGTCCCTCTGACTTACACATACCCAAACAGGGATCATAGATCTGGCTGTATCACAAACTTTTGTAAAGTGATGTCAACAAACCATTCTCCTTCCATGATGTCCTCTGACAGGCTTATTGTATTGCATATATTTCATGAAGTTCTGATTATTTGTTTTGACAGTTTCATGAACAGATCACAAAAAGTTATTTATTACAGTTAAACTTTGAAACTTATACTCAATAACCTTTATGTGTAATTGTCAATTTCATAAATCTATGGAAGAATCTTTATTGATAATATGGTAACCTTGAGCTAACAAAGTTATACTGTATAGTAACTTTCTCAGCTAATGGCATGGAGTTAAAAGCTTCCATCTTCAACAGACATAAACATCAATTGTTAAGGTGAGTATACTCACATTTATCTTTCTCCGTAGACTTGGCTCTCTTGGCTGATACTGCTGGGGCTGACGAGGGTGTGTGGAGATGATCTCCGGAAAGACTGGGGCTGGCCTCCTCAGCAGGCAGAGAAAGTGCACGCTTCTTGCCCCGCTTTTCTGCTGTAGGGTGAGGTGAAATGGGGTTTAACGTCATACTTAAGATTATTTTGCTCATATGATGATGTGCATGCATGTGTATGTGTGGCTGCTTGTACTAGCCCAGACTTAAGCTGGTTTTATAGTGCTAGCTCACTGAGATACCATGCCACAGTGAAGCATGAATACAGTACTCAGACACATTATACTGATTCCGAGCCGACCAGTCCTTGATGTACCCATTAATGCCGAGCGCCAGGCATGGACCAACAAGTACCAAATTTTAACGTCTTTTGGTATGACGCAGCCGGGGACTGAACCCACGACCTTCTGCTCTCTGTCTGCTGTAAGGAAACAGGTTGTTATTGTTACCACTCCCTGCTGCCAGTTTGTTGTTTTACATCAGTTCTGCCTATATCACAGGAGAGTATAAACGATTCAAATCAGGGCCTTCTAATTATTAAGTAGGTGCTTGGGACAGCTAAACCGGTATTTTCTTCCAATGTTGGATTCAATGCAGTAACCTAAAACTATGCATAGAAGTAATCTCTTAAAGCCATTGCACTGGTTGTATAATTTGAATCGAAATGTTTTTATTCCAATATGGAAATGTTTACTACTATTTGTTGCAGATTTGGGACTGACATCTCTGAGCTGATCTAAATAACTCCCTGTTCTTCAGATGCCAATTGAAACGCTCACTTTTGACTTCAGGTGTTTCTCCTGCAGCAGATGTGTCTCTTTTCGCCTGCAAGGGACTAACACGCGGAGTGTACAGCTTCGTTGGAACTGGACTTGTCTTCACACTGAAGCCCTTCCGAGGGCTGCTTTTCATACCAAACCCTTTCCTCTGCACATACATAAAAGTAAGAAAACCAAATGCTTCAGTAAATATGGTTGGCAATGAATTGATGAATCCACATATCAATCGAAAAGCTGAAAAGAACTTGCATATACACTAAGAATGTTCATGTATAAGGAAAATGATACCAGCAGTTCTACAGCAGACATCTCAGATCTGTTTACAGCCCACACAAAACCCATCAACAAAGGTCAGCAGTATTCATGTAGAACATGTTGCTCTTTCTACCTACACATTTATTGGTGATATATGTCCAAAGGATGCAAGTGTTCAAATAAAATGTCAAATTCTCATGAACACACCTGAAACGTTCATAATTATACCCAATTTCTAAAACAATTTCGATCAACATCCAGTGTGGCACAAAGTGTCCTCAACACGATGGTCTTTATTGGAAGTGTTTATCAAGTAGACATGTGAACAGAGACTTGTTCTCTTATCTTTTATCTACATGTGTAAGTCAATTTGTTGCCATACTCTGTTCCCTTTGACTTCACTCTTCTTCTGCCTTGGCTTGGCTACCAATCCTGGTGCACTGGTTGACCTTTCCCTCTTAGCCAGGAAGGATCCGGCTACAATCAACTTGTGCTTCCGACGTCTTTCAGTAAGACCAGTCTTCTCACCTATCAAACAGATTTTAAAATTGGTATTATGTCCAAATCGGCAAAAGCAATGTCACACTGCATAAGCATGCAGTTAACAGCCTGTGCAACTCTTACCACCATTCTGGCTGATTCTCTTTACAAGCTTGAGGACCTATCCTGCCCTGAAAATGAGACTGCTTGACAAATATGTGTTACAAATCTACATTGGGATAGAAGCATGGAGTACTTGGGTTCTACTTTGCCAAGGGAGCTCCAAAGGGAAACAAGCATGGAGTACTTGGGTTCTACTCTGCCAAGGGAGCACCAAAGGGATACAAGCATGGAGTACTTAGGTTCTACTCTGCCAAGGGAGCACCAAAGGGATACAAGCATGGAATACTTGGGTTCTACTCTGCCAAGGGAGCTCCAAAGGGATACAAGCATGGAGTACTTGGGTTCTACTCTACCAAGGGAGCTCCAAAGGGAAACAAGCATGGAGTACTTGGGTTCTACTCTGCCAAAGGAGCACCAAAGGGATACAAGCATGGAGTACTTGGGTTCTACTCTGCCAAGGGAGCTCCAAAGGGAAACAAGCATGGAGTACTTGGGTTCTACTCTACCAAGGGAGCTCCAAAGGGAAACAAGCATGGAGTACTTGGGTTCTACTCTACCAAGGGAGCTCCAAAGGGAGCATGGAGTACTTGGGTTCTAAACCAAGGGAGCTCCAACAAGCATGGAGTACTTGGGTTCTACTCTACCAAGGGAGCACCAAAGGGATACAAGCATGGAGTACTTGGGTTCTACTCTGCCAAGGGAGCTCCAAAGGGATACAAGCATGGAGTACTTGGGTTCTACTCTACCAAGGGAGCACCAAAGGGATACAAGCATGGAGTACTTGGGTTCTACTCTGCCAAGGGAGCCCCAAAGGGATACAAGCATGGAGTACTTGGGTTCTACTCTGCCAAAGGAGCACAAGCATGGGGAAATAGAATCCCATCTATACCAACATGTGGTATTGGGGTGCTACTCTGCCAAGGAATCCCACCTATACCAACATGTGGTATTGGGATGCTACTCTGCCAAGGAATCCCATCTATACCAACATGTGGTATTGAGGTGTTACTCTGCCAAGGAATCCCATCTATACCAACATGTGGTGTTGGGGTGCTACTAAGCCTAGGAATCCCACCCATAAAAGCATGGGGTATGGGGCAACTCTGCCAAAGTTGGTTGGTTGTTGTTTAACACCATACTCGGCAGTATTCCAGCTATATGGCAGCGGTCTGTAAATAATTGAGACTGCACCAGACAATCTAGTGATCAACAGCATAAGCATAGATCTACACAATTGGGATACGATGACATGTCAGTGAGCCTGACCACCCGTTCCCGCCTACACAAGCATGGGGTATTAGAGTGCTACTCTGCTCACGAATACCATCTTTACAAAAATGGGGTATTAAGACATCAACTGACCAGGATGTTTTACAGCAGATACATGTATAGGTTACTGGTCGACCTTTCTGCCTTAGAAGCTCCATAGGGACAAAGGCTTTGGAGTTTCAGGAATCCCATGAGTGACACAAGTATGTACAGGGTATTTACGGCCTACGCTGCCTAAGATATAGGTATACAAACATAGGGCTCTGGGGACCTATCCTGCCCTTGAACCAGCACCAGTTTAATCAGGAAAATAACTGAGTAGCTTATCTGCCTAACAATGGAGTTATTATCTATTTAGTAATAGATGATGTCCAGAAATGTAAAACAAACATTTCTAATCATGATTTTTCTCATTAGTTTGATGTACTGTTAACCAGGTAATAGTGACTTTCTCCGAGTGCTTACTTATCCACACTATTTTGAGGAAATTTCTTGAAAACTGCCTTTATATATCTGTACATGTGTTATAATTCATACCTTTGTCCTTGATCTCTTGGCTAGTTGATCGTACCTTCTCTGCACTTTGCCTGCGACCTGCAAAGGGGTTTTCATTAGATGCACTGGCACAAAGTAGTCTTATGAAACTAGACAAAACATGCCAATATATTCGTCTGAAGGTTCGACGGTATGAAAGTGAAAGTTGAAAATGAAAAAACCCACTGTTTTGTGAAGGAATGGTACACATATTTACAAATGCAAACTTGGAAAGACCACACTGATCTTCACAAAATCACAATATCATAAAAGGCAATAAGAGATTTAAGACAACAAAAGTAACACTATAATGTTCAATTGTGAGAATATACTCTTTCATAAACATGTTTTGTCATCATGTGGTAACTTGACAAAATTGTTATAACTTTTGTCTAATTACAGGAACAAAAACACCTCCAAGAATGGCTCAACTACAGACAATCTCTTGTAGAACTTTGACAACATCATGAAAACAGGTAATGCTTGCAAACTACATCTTCAACTTCATACAATTCACAAAATAAATGTTTAACAAACATTCTGCACAAAGTTTCATCAAACCTTAGTTAACAGAATGTGCATTGTCAACAGAACATACACACTTACACAAACTACCTAATTCTGCATGTTGGCCAAAAGAGAAAAAAATCAATTAACATTATTCTTCTTGACCTATTTCTAGTATTTGTCAATAATGTTACTGGTTATATCTTGAGAAAAAAAATGTCATTACAATACATTTAGCTTGACCAAGCTAACATTAACATCTCTCATAATCCTCTCCAACAGTTTAACTGCAGGTGCAACTTTTTCCCATCTCTCAATGCTGTAACCTGTGACAGATAGCTAATGTGTATCAACACCACTGTCAGTGGGACTAAGGGAAGTGACTCTCATATACTGTTGCTCCTGACAGACCACTAAAGATTTTGAACCTTTTGAAGCAGTTGTAAAATATTTATTTTCTAAAGGGAATGCATATGAAGAATTAAATTTGCAACCTTGTGAATACAATTTTCATTGAGGTGGAATGAAAAGGATAAACCAGCTTTAGTGCATACTTTTATTTTCAATATTTGATATCAAAATTCCATTTTAGGACAAAACTTGACTGATAACTGCTGAGGGTATAAGTAATTAATCATGTAATCAGCATCAAACTTTAAGAGGAAAGCAACTGGAAAAATGAAGAATTGTAATGCTTAACTCTGCATGTACCACAAACCTTCCAAAGGCAATATTAATGAATGCACCTTTAATAAACTTTCAACAATACATTGTTTGGTAAAAAGGATCTGAAATGAAACACTGGTAAAGATTCATGCAGGTTCCTATTATTGTGGGAACTAAGATACCCAGGTCTGGTACCCTACATCTACAATGTACTTGGATGTGGTAGAATGCATACTGAAATCAATACTTCTTGTATGAGGGGAAGCAACAGAAGATTTTGTTTGGAAAACACTTTTTTCCCTCCCTACCCCTTGACTGACTTTATCAAGCATATATCATAAAATCCTTTGTTTAACACTACAATGTCACCAGTATTGCAACATGTGACAAATCACCTACCTTCACTGGACCGACGCCCTCTCCGCACCTCCTTAGGTATTGTGGCCATTTTGCCCTGCAAGAATCACTCTCTCACTACATGCTCTTATAAACCTTTGGCTCATGTCTTGCTCTACCCTCAAAATGGAGAACTTTGTGAAATTAATTACCCCTCCCTTTGTGAACAAATTACTCTCTCTTGCTCTACATCAAAATGGAGAGCTTTCTAAACTTATGACTGTCTTGCTCAACCCTCAAAATGAGGAACTTTGTAAACATATGACTATCTTGCTCGACCCTACAAAAAAGACAATTTTGTTAACATATTTCCACTCTTTATGCTCAAAATGGAGAACTTTGTACACATGACTATCTTGCTCTACCCTCAAAATGGAGATTTTCGAAACATTTGACCCTATTTTGCTTTACCCTAAAATGGAGAACTTTGTAAACATGACTATCTTGCTCTACCCTCAAATGGAGATTTTCGAAACATTTGACCCTATTTTGCTTTACCCTAAAATGGAGAACTTTGTAAACATGACTATCTTGCTCTACCCTCAAAATGGAGATTTTCGAAACATTTGACCCTATTTTGCTTTACCCTCAAAATGGAGAACTTTGTAAACATGACTATCTTGCTCTACCCTCAAAATGGAGATTTTCGAAACATTTGACCCTATTTTGCTTTACCCTCAAAATGGAGAACTTTGTAAACATGACTATCTTGCTCTACCCTCAAAATGGAGATTTTCGAAACATTTGACCCTATTTTGCTTTACCCTAAAATGGAGAACTTTGTAAACATGACTATCTTGCTCTACCCTCAAAATGGAGATTTTCGAAACATTTGACCCTATTTTGCTTTACCCTCAAAATGGAGAACTTTGTAAACATGACTATCTTGCTCTACCCTCAAAATGGAGATTTTCGAAACATTTGACCCTATTTTGCTTTACCCTCAAAATGGAGAACTTTGTTGTCTTCAAGTAGCACCATATATGAGAAATATATCATTCTGATTTTCCTATGCTGTTTTATGTAAATTTGCATAATTTATAGGTGAAATGTAAAAGCAAAACAACATTAACTTGAGATATACAAACATCAATCTTTATTGTACACACAACAACCAATTATCAAGTGGTGTGCCATGTTAAAACTTGTTTGATTTTCTTTGGCCATCTTCTGTCATACACATGGTGTCACTTGCAAGGCTTCCCTGGCTGTCAACACCAGGCAGGTGTCTATAGCCTCTCTTTAGCACAGAACATGTAGAAACCAGTACTTCTGACCATGTAGAGGTCAATACCTGACTGTTATGACAGACATCTACTGGGCTACAGCTCGACTGTAGACTCACCCAACACAAGTTATTATTGACATGCATCTTTCTGTGATCAATATATATGTACATGTGTGTGTGTTTGTCAGGTACAGACCAATATTTGACAATTATGACTGACCTACAGTAACAATGTGCAACAGCCTATGACCTTTCAATATCAGCATCTAGTGCATCAATACTGATTCATTGGTAACTCCAGATGAACATATAATGACTCAGCCCATGTAAGTAAATATATATATCTGCATATGTTTCCATGAGCAACAAATACAGCAGCAAAAACAAACGTATTGCACCAAAATACCGCAGTCTTCTGCTTGTAGCCACATGACAATAGAATTCTAGGAATATTTCCCCCAGAATTCCCCCAGTATGACGAGCAGTTTTGGAGTAAAATTGATATTTTATACTTATCCTGACTCATGCTCTTTTGCTTGTCTTCTTCTTCTTGCTAACATAGTGGAACACTTGTATCTCCCTAATTGAAGCTCCCTTCAATTTAAAATCACTAATTAGTATTCACCACGAAGTTACCTCCTTTCCACAAGCTGAACGAGGGCTTCACCTCTACCCATGTGCCTCACTCTCTCCTCATATACTGAGCCCAACATTTGAATTTACAGGGAAATCCAAAGTGTTATTTGGGAGGATGGGAGGGCTGACCTCATGAGTCAGGATAAGTATAAAATATCAATTTTACTCCAAAAATTACATATTTTTCCTTATCCTGACTCATGCTCTTTTGCTTGTAGCATCCTACGGAACGGAGGTGGGAATATCTAATACTTTGGATTTTAATAATTAGTGATTTGAACTGTGATGATTGTAATAACCCCATGGGAACTTCATAAAGGCACTGAACTGATGAATTCCTGCTGCTAACTTATCAGCTGCCATATAAAAGGTTATTACCATGTACTTATTATGATAAAGTATATATAACATTAATACAATGCTTAAGACTAATAGACTTAAGCTTGTTAATATGCTAGTATAAACTCCTTAGAGTTTGTTAGCTAAAATACTTTAAGATATAACATAGTACTAAGCTTAAGATATGATTAAACTTAAGCTAATTATATAATAGCAAACTCTTTAGAGTTTGTTAGTTAATATACTTATATGATATAGATATAATGCTGAGCTTAAGATATGAATAAGCTTTAGCTACATATATAATAGCAAAAAACTCTGTAGAGTTTGTTAGCTAATATATTTTTATAATATGAGTATAGTACTGTGCTTAAGCCATAATTAACTTAAGCTACATATATAATAGCCAAACTCTGTAGAGTTTGTTAGCTAATATATTTTTATAATATGAGTATAGTACTGTGCTTAAGCTATAATTAACTTAAGCTACATATATAATAGCCAAACTCTGTAGAGTTTGTTAGCTAATATATATTTATAATATTAGTATAGTACTGAGCTTAAGATATAATTAACTTAAGCTACATATATATAGCAAAACTCTGTAGGGTTTTGTTAGCTAATATATTTTACAATATGAGTATAGTAGTGTGCTTAAGATATAATTAACTTAAGCTACATATATAATAGCAAAACCCGTGAGAGTTTGTTAGCTAATATATTTTACAATATGAGTATAGTAGTGTGCTTAAGATATAATGAACTTAAGCTACATATATAATAGCAAAACCCGTGAGTTTGTTAGCTAATATATTTTACAATATGAGTATAGTATTGTGCTTAAGATATTATTAACTTAAGCTACATATATAATAGCCAAAAAACTCTGTAGAGTTTATTAGCTAATATGTTTATAGTGTAACCATAGTACTAAGCTTAAGATAAGATTAGACTTAAGCTAAAAGTATATAGCAAAATAAACTCCTTAGAGTTTATTAACTAATATACTTTTTATGTTAAAAACATAGTACTGAGCTTAAGTTATGATGAAACTTAAGCTATATATATATAATAACAAAACCACGAAGTTTTGTTAGCTAATACCTTTATAATGTAAACATACTGCTTAAGATATGATGAAACTTAAGCTAATTGTATAATAGCTTAAAACAACCCTTTAGAGTTTGTTAGCTATGATATAAACCTAGTATTGAGCTTATGAAGGAAAACTTAAGCTACATATATAATAGCAAGAACTCCGTAGAGTTTGTTAGCTAATACATGTTATAATGTAACCATAAAGCTTAAAATATGATGAAACTTAAGCTTTAAATATATAATAGCAAAACCCTCTTTAGAGTTTTGATAGCTAATATACCTATATGATATAAACATAGTACTGCTTTTAAGATATGAATAAGCTTAAGTTACATATATAATAGCTAAAACTCTGTAGAGTTTGTTAGCTAATACATGTTATAATATAACCATATTGCTTAGAAATATGATGATACTTAAGCCAAATAGCAAAAACTCTTTAGAGTTTGTTAGCTAATCTACTTATATGATATAAACATAGTACTAAGCTTAAGATATGAATAAGCTTAAGCTACCTATATAATAGCAAAACTCCTTAGAGTTTGTTAGCCAATATATTTTAATAATATGAGTATAGTACTATGCTTAAGGTATAATTAGCTTAAGTTACCTATATAATAGTAAAACTCCTCAGAGAGTTTGTTAGCTTAATTAACTTAAGCTATGTATAAAATAGCCAAAAACTCTGTAGAGTTTGTTAGCTAATGCATTTATCATGTAACCATAGTATTACTCTTAAGATATGAATAACTTAAGGTAAATATATATAATAACAAACTCTGTAGAGTTGTTAACTTATATATTGTATGATGTAATAATCATAGTACTGTGATGATAAAAGGAACTTAAGTAAATTATACATAGCATGAAGCTATTTAGTATTGTTATAAGATAAGTAAAAATCTGTTAGATTGACTTATCTTCTCCGAGGAACTGTCAGCTGTTGTGCGAGGACCATGGGATCGAATTGGTGTATACCTGAGACGCCCTCGGTGGTGATATCTCTCAGATAATGGTTTGCAACCACCATATCGGATTTCCAGAAATAAACCCTCCATTATTTCAATCACATTTGTGTAGAACAATTGTAGAAGTTAGCTTATAATATCATGAGTATTAAGCTCATGGAGGGTCGGAATAGGTCCATCCGCATATGCACGTAGTATGACAGTTCTGATCCAAATGGAGATATAGTACATGAGACTTCACTCTGGCGTAGTTGATGATAGAGGAAATAATCTGTTGCATTTTTCCTCCTGTTTGGTTTGGTGGAGATAAATTTACAGTGCTCTTGCTGGCCAACTTGATAGAATCATCGTATCATGGGGTCCAAGTATGTCATCCAGGCGTGTTCATAAACCTCACTTGTGAGGTGTTGGAGCACTATATTCATATCCCCAGGTTGGGCGGAAATTTCCGCTTTATTCTCCAAACAGAAGTTTAGTAGGTTTACTAACCATCTAGTTGTGTTAGTCGCTGATGAAATTCAGCTGTAGTCTGAAACGCTGTGGATTTAGATCCACTTGTATCTTCGCCTAGGTAATTCGCCAAGCGGTCCTTTGACGATGTAGGTGCACAACCAGGTGTGTCTGTCCTCGCTGAACTTTATGTAAAATCGCTTCTGACTGCCGATCCCTCGCCTTAACTTGACAGGGAGGTCTCTAACTTGAAGAAAGGCAGTCTAATCATGAATGTTCAGGTTAACTGGACTGTAATGAGGCTTGCTCGCTCACTGATATATAGTTGTCACTTGTGACGTAAGTCTTGAACTGTGAATTGAGATCGACCTCTGTGTAGGTCGCTGTCCCTCGCGTCCAATCAGAACAAGGCATTTTGATTCTGTATAATACCCGCTGTGATGTCACCGTGTAGCGGAAAACCCACCTTGAATAAATTCTTGTCGCCGCTGATATTAGCATAAACGCCGGTCTTCACCGTAGCTTCCCGGGTTATCCGAAAGTGACCACGGTTTCGAGGGTTAATGGTAATCGCTAAAACCTCCGCCAAATATCTCGCCTGTAATTTTATGCTGGGTAGGTTATTTTCCTGGTTGTCGTGGAAAGTAATTTCAGTTTTGAATATAATTCACTTCCTTATATATATGGGTATAAACAACTTGCAAGTTGTGAGCTTGTAGACTGTATACATGAATGTATCGCCATAATTGTAGAATTAACGCTGAACTTGTTGTACATATTTCTTCTCAGAAACTTTGACGATTAAGAGTTATACTCGCTGTAACAAGGCTGCTGTTCAATTTCGATATTGAATTGTTCGCAGATATGCGCGAATGGTCACGCATGTAGATAATCGTGATCGCCGTCCGGGATTGTATATTAGCAATTTATAATGAATAGTTGATTTCTGTGAAGATCTATGAAATGTCGCTGACTAATAATACAGCGACGCTCTGTGTTGTAAATAGCCTGAGCAATTATCTTCGCAGAGGGCTTATAGATCGCATCTGGCATACAGTTGATAATCAACTTATGCGACGCCTTGAACGGACTGACGAAAGTAGCTATATATGACGAAAGTGGCTAGTATATGGAAACCTTGGAGGAGACTTCCTCGGTGAACGCCGAGACTTCGCTAAGTTCTCGGCAGTATCCCTTCTAGATCTTCTGGGTGAAGTAGACTTGAGTTACTTAGCCTTCGCGACCATCGCTAAGGTGTCGAGTCAAAGCCCGATTAGTATATATATATATATATAAATATATATATGAGCTTGCTTCGCGGAACAGCCTCTGTGTTTAACAGGATGTGGATCGGCGGCTTTGCCTAAGTAGGGCCGCATGGATCATCTTATCATATTCAGAAGTCGTGTTACTAAGTCTGGTGATAAGTGTCTAATTGATCGCTCTAGATCTATTTAGGCCAGCTTAACATACGCCTCGGCCATGGATTCAACAGAACCAATATACGATTGTAGTTCTTATACTTGATATCGATGATCAACTTGTCTATGGGTTGATCTTCTCGAGACTTGTGAGGGGAACGCTGATAGTTTCGCTAAGCTCTTGTATAGTCCCTCGATGTCCTTCTAGATGATGATGATCTGATTCAGGTGTCTCGCGCGATGCCTTCGCTGGCTTCCTCTGCGTCCGTCCGGGGAACGACGATATGACCTTCGCGGCTGGCTTCCGTGATGTCTGATGGTCCGAGTCCACATCTAGGGATGAAACCGCATAAGGTGATGATTTATCCTGCCTTCGCCAAGTCCTTCGCCGGCTGGCTGTACATCTAGGTTCTTTCCGCCTTCGCTGGCTGTACATCTAGGTCCTTTCCGCCGCTAAGGCCTTCGCTGGGCTGTACATCTAGGTCCTTCGCCAAGGTGGTCCGCGACTTCCTTCGCTGAAGGTGACATCGCCCTGGCTGCTACGCTGACGGGGTGCCTCTGGGTGTTGTTCACGCTTGGAGCCTTCGCTGGTTGCTCGACCCTGCTACCGCGAGATATAGTGGTCCTCCATGATGTTCATAATTTGTCGCGATCATGTCTTCTGGGATGGTCTGCGACGCAGGTCGCCGGTGCTTTATCTGGCGTGTTAATGGAGGGGTCCACCGAAAATCGTCCGACATCAGTGTAGAGGCATCAGGCTGCATGGTGATCTCTGCTGATGTCGCTGTAGCTGTCACCGGTCGCTTCTTGTGGCGACGCCGGGATGATGATCAGCTGATCATCGAGAGGTCCAGGTCATCGGCTGGAACAATCTCGCTGAGAAAGTCCTAGTAGACTTCGCTGATTTTCCTCAGAGGTCGACGCTGCCCTGGGTGCGCGACGCCTGCGCTGAGTGTTGGTAATGATGGGACCCTCAGGACGATCATCGCGATATCTGCGCTTGGTACATCAGGCTGCATGCTGATCTGAGCCGACATCGGTCAATCTTTGATGTACATCTGGTATGATGACCGGCTGATCATCAAACAGGCCCAAACTGCGATGGGAACGGTCTCGCTGTTGAGATGTGGTAGAAAACCCTCTAGTCTTCTGCTGCGACGATGGGATGTCTGGGGAAGCAGGATGCTTTGAGATGGCGGACTACGCCCCACACCTCTCCACCACTCTAGCGAACACCACACGGAGGGGAGTCGGCCAACAGCAGTAGACTGGCGAGGGGTTCCGTGTATCAGTCATACTAGAGTCTGCATACGCCACTCCTATCTGCTGTGCGCGTACAAACGCAGTAAATATTAATAAAAAGGTAGAATTGATAAATTAGTACCGCGAACTGCAATGTGAATATAATAAACATGGCTACCGCATATCATATTAAAGGCGGATCAGCAGCAGCATAAAAACGAATCTGCAATAGTACAGAATTTTCATCAACGTAATCCACTGAAACAAACACGGCCCCCGCGTGAATAAACTGTAGAAAAACGACTAAATATCAATATATAATCGCTGAAGGATACTAGCTAAACCTCTATAGATGTCTATACGAGGTAACTAACTAAATATATTTCAAAGGATATAGTGTGTCGGAGACACAGGCGCTTCACGCCCAGCTCACTGGGCTAAGAAGGAGAGAGTGAGGCACATGGGTAGAGGGGGCTCTCTCCCCCTTGTGGAAAGGGAGGTAACTCGTGGTGAATACTAATTAGTGATTTTAAATTGAAGGAGCTTCAATTAGGGAGATACAAGTGTTCCACTATGTTCGCAAGAAGAAGAAGACAAGCAAAAAGAGCATGAGTCAGGATAAGGAAAAAGGAAAGGCAAGGCCAGCTATAAAACATTTATAAACTTGTGAAGTCACTTAACATATTTGAATCACTAGTCCTTTAAATCATTTATAGTATTAGACATTAAGGAGGGCACTTTTTGTCATAGCATTTGTGGATTGTCATTCCTAATTCTGAACGCAGGCCATGCTGAAGCTTTAGTAATTTCTATTAGTTTAATGTATGGTTTCCTAAAACACTTAAAAGTCTTGTTCAGAACATAACATGGTGTGATTACAGTATATGTTCGCCACCTTATTTTGTTAGGGTCAGGGTGGCAAACATATCAAATAGCGGTTCCCATAACACTGGTGTTGTAACTCACTCTGAGTCAGTATTTCTACCAAGATGGTTGTTGATGGATGTACTTACATCTCTCATCTTCTTCTTGCCTCGTTCTTTCCGCTCTGAGTGTCGCGTGAGCGGTCGGATCCCTTCGCTTGTCATGACAGTCCACTCATCGTATCTTTGGTTCCAACCTTCGAAGTGGATCAGTACAGTTTTGTCTTCCTCATCAATGTCCATGATCTTAGCTGGGTACCTGTCAACCAACATCAAGAGAATATAGCAGATCTCCATCACTGGGATTCCTCTGCTTGCTGATGAGTACTGGACAGACAGACAATTGCAGTGATATCACTCACTGATGATACAGAAGTATGTACTCACCAGTTATTAAGGAAATCCATTGCCTCGACTCTCTCCCCCTTCCTCCAGGCTATACCGGGGCGCACTGGGAAGCCAGAACCTGTACCTGGGGTCATGTCTTTCTTGACTGGGGTGGACGGCAATGACGTGAGGCCTGTGGTAGGGGTGCTGGGAACAGTCCACGAGTTCTCCCGATCTGTAGACACTGCGCTCTCAGTCTCTTCCGTCTCATTGTTAGTGGAATTGGAGTCCTCAGAGTGATGGAAGGGGGAGTGGGCTTCACTGGTGTTCATAGTTGTCTCCCCTTCCTCTGCTGTGTCTGTCATCTCCTACAAATATGTACAAACAACAAACCTTACTTCCACCACAGACACTAAGCCAGTAATATCATACAGAATCTCACCCTTATTCAATGATTTAACATTCTGGGGCGAACAGGAAAACCATTTTGTAAAAAAATATATAACACAAATTAATTTTTATCTAATGTTTTTTTAATCTAATAGCTTTTCAGAACAATATATGAAGTACTCTCAAGGACTTCATAATCTATTGCATATGTTGATGACATCACCAAGTCACACTCAACAGTAATATTTTCCTGATATATATGATTCCATTGAACTCAAAGTGAACCAGGGATGGAATTCCCAATTTATTTTTTAAGGGTGCCACTGGGCACCCAAAAGAGAATTTAAGTGTGCTTTTGTGAAAAAAAGTGTGCCAATACCTTTTGATGATCACATTAAACTGAAAACATCACAACAATTATGTCCTTTCAATTTAATGTAATAAATCAGTAAACATAATGTAAACCTATAAAATTGATAACTGGATTTCCTGAACACTATCGTAACTGCAGGAATAGTTCTTCTTTATTTGCCCTGGACCCATAAACTGGCATTCAAAATAGCCATGTCCACAAACTGTAAAATTGAGAGTGTTACCAATAAACAGTTTGGTGGGGTGCAAAATTAGGTTTTGACTCATCTGAGTTGGTCAGCTATATCACATTTTAATCATAGTGAGTATTATTTTTATAATTTTAGTTATGAACAGGGCACATGCAAATTTTTTCATCCATGCCATTACAATATTTACCATGGAGTGGCACGTAAATTGAGCATTATCTCAATCCCCCTGAACTATTCCCTTCTTATTGACGGTAATGCACTGATAGTAATAAAACATATGGGATGGAGAGGACCGACTTCTCAGCAATTCACAATTACTCAAACCCCTAGGACTGACTGATATATATTCGTAATATCAACATCAAGATGTGACTGTAATATTCATAAAACAGTTGTTAAAATATTGTGTAAAGCAATATAAAATTTCCTGAAAATTGCCTAAATCCAGTGATCAACAGCATGATCTACACAACTGGGATATGATGACATGTGTCAACCAAGTCAGTGAGCCTGACCATCTGATCCTGTTAGTCACCTCTAACGACAAGCATGGACTGCTGAAGATCAATTCTAACCCATATCTTCACAGGTTTACCCTGGTCAGTGAAAGACCTATCATGTTTATGGATGCATTGTATGACAAGTGATAGGTCTACATTTCTACAAAGAAACTATTTCTGACCTAAAACACAAAGAAAACAATTTAACAAAAAAAATTCCTCCCTTCAGCATCTTTTTTACTGATTAACTGCATCATAAATATTTTACACTTCAAGGACTGCATTAAAAAACACCCTCTAAATGGAGTCTGTTCAAACTCTTGTTTACAGTACACAAAAATATCGTTGTGGCATCTGTTATCATGGTTAAATGAATGTGAATGTGGCAGTCAGACATGTTATTGTTCCTAAATGCCCGTCTAAAATTGTTCATGACTGGGAAAATATCTCAGTCACATTGATCAAATTTAACAAGCTTCATCTCTGTATCCTGTATTGATTGTAAAGCAAAGGAAATTTCAGTCCATCAAGTAAACTGAAGACAATGATAGAATATATTGTTATGAAGGGTTGTCGTTGTGTCATAAATACATAGAAAAATACAGAAAACAAGTTTGCTTAGGGATATTCTAAAATTATAATTATTTACAATCACGATAACAAAATGTCCAAGTGTCAAGAAAGAAATTACAATCCGTATTCGCTTCCTGTACTTCAAATGCCTCTTTTCTACATTAATGATGTCGCGTTTCATCAGCTGGCTATATTTCCCGTTTTGATGGGTAAAATAAATATGTAAAATCATTTTCTGCAGTCAAGTAATATGTTGATTGGAAAAATACAATCAATGATGATCAAAACATTATTGCGTATGTTGTTGGTCCGGCCGAAATCAGGTCATGCACGAGTCACGTCCGCGGGAAAATACACGCGGGTTGACAAGTATGCACTATCATTCACGGCCTATACTCGGCATAGCTTCAAATAAGTATTCAAGCAACTGTAATGCAGACCAACAAAACTGTGAAAAAATATTTCTTTACTACATTTACAGTCATATTTACCTGTTCAGATGTCATTCCAGTTTCGGACGACGCCATTTTAGAACATGGGTGATTGTAAAACTGAGACTTCGCGTTTTGCTCAGTGAAAACATTACTCATTTCTAAAAATACAATTTTTTAATGCATTCGAAATGACGTATTACGCTACTACCGTATGTAATTATAGCTATTGCAACCACATTGCAGTCATTATTTCAGTGACAAAAGACATTAAGACATCCCTGCCAACGTGCAGAAAAGAAACCATTGTTTTGATACACACTTAGATAAATCGACTTCTTTATGTGTATAAATTTCGAATAAAACTGACAATCATTTTTTCATCTGCTGTGGCCATGGTTATTGGCGGATCCAGAGGTGGGGTTCAGGGGGTTCGAACACCCCCACCCCTACCCCCTCCCTTGAAAATGACTTAAGACCACATTGAAGATTTTGTTTGCGAAAATATTCCTGGATCCGCCCATGATGGTAATAAGGGGGTCAACATGTTAACAAGTTAACATCCATATATCACAACACTTAGAATTTGTTTACATGGTCATTCCTTAAGAAGATATATTGTGGCATAAATCACTTTTGGAATTCTTTTTGTCTTTTCGGTTGCTTTGCGTTCACGCGCTCGGTTGGTGTGACCGATGATATTGCATATCATAAGAATATTTGTTTCCCATTGATCTTCCTATTTTATTATTCGCTCACTCACTGTTGTCGACAAGTTTATGATACGACCCGTGAAGGTCCGTGTTAGAATTGATCTTCAGTAACCCATGCTTGTTGTAAGAGGCGACTAACGAGATCGGATGGTCAAGTTCGCTGACTTGGTTAAATTGACACATGTCATCGTATCCCAGTTGCGGAGATTGATGCTCATGCTGTTGATCACTGGATTGTCTGGTCCAGACTCGATTACTTACAAACCGCCGCCATATAGCTGGAATATTGCTGAGTGCAGCGTAAAACTAAACTAAACTCACTCGCTCGCTCACTTTATGATACACATTGCCACTATCGACAAATAGATAACTATTTGTGTATTCAAAATACATGCATAACGAAACAATTAAGATCAATATTTTTACATGTAGTTTCCTAGTTTTTGCTGTTTGGTGTCCACAAATTAATGAGCTATGCATGCATACTGCGATGTATTCATGCCTGAAATAGCGACAGGTGATGTGCATGGTCACTAATATGGACGAATGACCACAAGATCTTGAAAAAATATTATTAAAATTTATATCACGGATGTACTCACATATAACGTCTTTGTTCAAACTACTTTTGAGTTAGGTAATTAACTGGTGAACATATTTACTTAATTGTTTTTATTTGTTGGATGCAACACACTATCAGATGCGTTCTGTGATGCTTTCGGCTGATGTACCGAGAGCAGAATTTATATTCCAAGCGGATAGGTTTATGAATAAACGAGACCCGTGAAGATCCGGGTTAGAACTGATCTTCAGTGCATGATTGTCGTAATCCTGAGCTAGGCGACTAACAGGATCGGGTGGTCAGGCTCGCTGACTTCGTTGACACATGTCATCACATCCCAATTGCGTAGATCGATGCTCATGATGTTGATCACGTAATTGTCTGGTCCAGACTCGATTATTTACAGACCGCCGCCATATAGCTGAAATATTGCTGAGTGCGGCGTAAAATTAAACTCACTCACTATGAATAAACGAACAGTTAAGTAACATACATGGGCGGATCCAGGAATTTTGAAAGGAGTGGGTTGAAAGGAGGGGGTTCGAACCCCCTGAACCCCCCCATTGGCTCCGCTAACGCAAAAAAAATAATCTTCAATGTGATCTTAAGTCATTTTCAACACACACACACACACACACACACACACACACACACACACACCACACACACACACACACACACACACACACCGATCCGCCACTGACATATATCACAAGCCAATAATATCGACAGACAATTAATGAATCACACGTTTACAGTTATGACATAAAAATATGATTAGTGAAATATAACACTCGAGGTAACTCGATCAACATTTCATCAGAGACCACATAATCTATTATATGGTCTCTGATTTCATGCAACTGATCTTCGAAGAAAGTCGTCGGAAACACCCGAGGTATTCCGAATGAGATATAAATGTTGAATTTACTGTCACTTAATTTCATAAACATGGAACCATCATTATTGTATGTTTACATGATAGTTTAAACACACAGTGGTATAACCAAGCAGAATAGTAAAGATCCAAATTCGTCTGAGTTACAACCCGACCCGCTCACAGCAAAGATCGCTCAGCCGTGTTCCGATTGTAGTTATTAGTTGACAGTATCCACGCAACAGGGGCAGTCTATTGACTCTCAACAGGAAGGTCCTACCGGGCTATTTTTGCTCGTGTGTTTTACTGTGTTATGGTTGGTGGTTTCGCAGTGAGGGGGACATGAGGTGGTTACTTTTGGCAATCATTCCGACACATTCGCTCACAGAATACTGATGTCATGTTGACGGGCCACGTGCCCGGAATACTTAAACTGCAAGTTCATTTCAGAAGCAGAGATTTAGGCTACCTTGACAGTAGCGACGTGGAGACTGTGTCCTCGATGTACACATTTACAAAAAAGATGTGGATTTCAACAATGCATTATTAGGAAATAACTACCAGTAACCAAAGTAAGTGTAACTGATATTCATGAATTTTACAATTGGTGACAAAAGTAAAATGTTTTGTTAATAGAAATTAAATCAGTTTTGTTATTTAAATGTTAAAAAGTTATGAATATTACATGGCTGAGGGTATGACATTGCATGAAAGTCTGAGAGTGTTATTCTAATTAAAATCATCATTTTAAACTTCTGGCATATTTCAGTAAAGGTTCAGGTAGGTATTTTTTCTTAGATACATCAAACATTGACATGCTTAATCACCTGTGTTTATTAATGATTTAATATAGTGATATATATCTTTATTTCTTCACTATATGTTGTTGTTGTTGTTGTATTGTTTCTTGAGAGCAAAATTGTGATATATGATAAATTCCTTGTATTTATTTATTTATTACAATTCATTAAATATGATTTACAATTTGCCAGGTTCATCAAGTGTTTGTCACAAGCCAGTCATGCCTTCCAGAGACCCTCAGGGCTACGTTGCCCTTCTTCCTCTGCCCATCCCATCTCAACGGGGGGTGAAAATACAAGCCAGAAGTGCCACTGTCTTCAATCCAACCATTCCATCACGAGATGAAGTTAGACGTTCAAATTACAAACGTCGACTTCAGCAGTTGACATCTCAAGGATTTAAATCTGTGTCCCATAAACCCTATCAAGGAATTGGAGACCCTTTTTATTTGGAAGAACAACGGCTCATTCTACATTCACTGGGACAGTGGGATGGGGTAGGTATTCCTACATATAATGCTCCAGTTTTACATTATGTTTATGTGCATGTTCATCATTATTGTTAGAGTACAACATATCATTTACTCTTCCGCTAAAATGTCCTGTGTAATAAATCATGAATTGAAATATGAATATGAAGTATAATTCCCTACAGAGACTGCAGGTGCTATTAATACATACATGTATATGAATCATGATGGATTGCTACTAATTATCCAGATTTATGGAAACAATATAGCTTTGTAAATATGCAACATTGTGTCACACCTTATACAAACCTATTATGATGACTAAAAAGGATGAAAATTGTAAGTGTTGTTTCTGGTCCCAGCTCATATCATTTTGAACGAACCACCTCACGCTTTTCTATTTTCGGATTGCTCAACCAAGGGCAGGTAAATCAAAGGGGTTTTCCTCAAAGGAAGTATAACCATCTAAAATTGTAGGTTGTTAGTGTGCAGTTGATATATTAGGGCCTTATGAGTTTGTTTAATGTTTAGATGTAATTCTTCTTAACTTTTATGAATCGCTGCAAAAAGGGCATTTCAGTACCGGTGAAAATTGTTTCATCCGGAATCGTTCGCCCTGGCAGCATCCAGATCATATACATAGTTTTCTGGGTCCTGATTCACAAAGCATTTGTAATGTTACGACCTGTCGTAACTCTATGGGTTACCATTGGTTTATGAATGTCGTAGTGCTACGATTGCTTTGTGGATCAGAACCTGATTTGCCTGGTTTGTATCAGTCATAATGAGACCTTATCTGTGAGACAAAACAATATCGGCAAGATACAAATAGTACAAATAAGTAACTCAATCATTCTGCAACAAAATTGATACTAATGAAACAGTTAATAAAGTTCCATTATTGGTACTGTCACATTACAAGCTCGCAATTTAAAAATAACACTCTGTTTTACATACTTTTGTGTGTAATATTTTTTATGTTTTACTTTTAAAAAGTTTTAATTTTTGGAGAAAATAAATTCTGACATTCTTCCAACCAACATGTAAATATCATGTGTCAGCACGGAGAAACCAGGTTAAAAAATGGTCCCCAGAACCCCCTGCTAGTGATAAGAGGGTGGTCAGATGGATCAGCGATGAGACTGGTTAACTGTGTGGATGGCCTGTCATAGTACTCTGATGGCTTGGATCTTTGGTCACAATCACTGGATTGTCAGAAACTCTCTTTGTTATTGGTAGCATCAATAGCGGAATATTGCTGTGTGTGGCGTTAAGCAACAAACAAACACTCTGAGTAATATTTGGTGTGTTTTTTAACTAGAGCATCGAATTTTGATCTTATAAGAAAGTGGTTTGTTTGTTTGATGTTTAACACTGCACTCAGCAATATTCCTGCTATATGGCAGCAGTTTGTAAATAAAGGAGTCTGGACCAGACAATCCAGTGATCAACAGCATATGCATTGATCTACACAATTGGGATACGATGGCATGTATCAACCAAGTCAGCGTGCCTGACCACCTTAATCGCCTCTTACAACAAGCATGGGTTGCTGAAGACCAATTCTAACTCGGACCTGGGGTGGTGGGGTAGCCTAGTGGTTAAAGCGTTGGCTCGTCACGCCGAAGACCCGGGTTTGAATCCCCACATGGGTACAATGTGTGAAGCCCATTTCTGGTTTCCCGGCCTTGATGTTGCTGGAATATTGCTAAAAGCGGCGTAAAACTAAACTCAGTCAGTCAGTAACTCGGACCTTCACTGGTAGAAAGTGGCTGGTCATTTGCTGGTTAACTGCTTGTTAACTGTTGTAATCTCACTCTCCCCTTTATCCGTATACAGAATGAGGGAAGCGATGGGTCCAGCAGCTCCGAGGATGAGGGTATGCAAGCAGCTCAGTTACCTAGCCCAAAGAAAACCATGGTAAGCTCTATTTGAGATTTGTGGGAATATCTGTTTTCTAAGAGTCTGTGTGTTTTTGATTGTTGGGAATATCACAGACATGTCTGTGACTTTGTGTGTCATGGATTCTAATCTACATGGTGGTCTACCAAGAAAGTGAATGGGGACAGGGATCCCTTTAGCATGAATGCATTGGGTCAAAACAATGCAGTTTCTAATGGTGCAGCAGCAACAACTAGCTCTTATATTTAGCCTGGACAAATTGAAGGTGATCACTGCTAAGCGCAGGTTTTATACAAATGTGAATTATGCTGCAGCCAAGTGTTGTCATGAAGCCAGCTCAGTTTTCTACCTTTCATTTGTGTCACTAGAGTCGCTATCAGATCAGTATGCAAGAGTTGAAGACAGTGTATGTATCACGGATTACTGTTTTTTAAAAAATGTGAAAGCTCAATTCTGATTGGATCATTTTGTGACTTTTAGTCAATGAATGGCACCGATAGTGATTTCAGACACATTAAGCAGAGAAAGTCAGAAACTTGCTTTTAGTGATTGAAACAGGAATATTACAAAATAGTTTTGAGACAGTCATTGAGACCCACAATTATTTGAAATAAACCCTTCAACATGAATTCCCTCAATTTAACCACTGAAATGTTCAAATAAAATATTTGCTGCGGAGACAGATTTGTGTGAAGTAGTGCAAAGCCTATGTGAGTGTATTGCAACAGTTAATGTATATAAGCGATATGTCACTTGGAATACTTTTATTTTCCTTTGAATAACAGGAGTGGTGGGGAAGCCTAGTGGGTAAAGCGTTCGCTCGTCATGCTGAAGGCCTGTTTTTGATTCCCCACATAGGTTCAATGTGTGAAGCCCATGCCATTTCTGGTGTCCCCCCAGCGTGATATTGCTGGAATATTGCTAGAAGTGACGTAAAACCCAACTCACTCACTCACTCTTTGAATAACATACCATCAAAATACACCACCGACAGAATGTAAAAAACCCCAGTTCTTTATAAATTTATCTTCAAAGGAATTATTATTTGTTTTAGTCAAGCGGATTCATTGTGTAATGAATAAATTGAGTTAGTTCATTTCTAAACATACATCATGATATAATTAATTTTTTCGTCAGAGACAATTGTAGATTGTCTATATATGGGCTAATAAGATTTGAGGAGAGGTAAAATGGTGTTCAATCGATTGACCAGAGAGGCTAAGAAATACTGAAATATTTTTTATATACTGTATCAAGGAGAATTGTGGTGTGTTAGTTACTCACACTATTCCACAGTCAACATGAGTGGTAGTTCCCTGTCTTATTCAAATTCTGTGGTTATCAGATTATTGATTAATGGAGTACAGCTGATTGTAAATGATATATCACGGCCTGTCAAAACACTATCAGCAAGTGACAGCGTCGAAATAAATGTGAGTGTTTGATTAATACTGAGAAGCAAAATCTTGTAAACTCCTTGTAGAGAAATATGAACTGCCTCTGCCCAATCTTCACTGTATACCCAAATTCTAAAATATTTATCTTTCCTAAATATTATAAGAAATCCCCAGAGGGCCTGGTCATTTATTATAGGGGTTTGGGTGGGGAGGGAGAAGGATTGGTCCAAGATCTCTGTCATGAAAAATATTTTCCCATTTGTATATCAGTATTTGGGTTGGTAGACTTTCCAGGTTAATCTTACTGAAGATCAGCTGTTGAGAAATATCAGAAAATGGTAACTGAAACCATTAATAACAGGGTTGACCTGGCAGAAAGTCTATGTGACAGAATATTAGCATTGTGGAAGTATGAATGGGAACTTTAGCAGGGTATGTCATTTCTGCAAATATTTATTCCATTTTGCTTCCACAACACTGAAAAATGGAACTTGAACAAAACTCACAGTCTTAATTCCTGTATAAATATCATCACTCAGCATGTGTTTTTGTTTATTTTGTTTTGGTGGCATTGATGCAAAATTCCAAACTTTGGAGAAACTTCCTTAAGGTTAAAACTGCTTGTGCTGGGTAATGAAAGAATGGAATATTTTGCAACTGGTAGAATTTCTGCAGCTGGTGTCACGTTTTCATGGTAGAGAAATCTTTTCACATCCCATCATGTCCATTGAAGATGCCAATAGGTTTTGTAAGTCATCTTTGATGCTCCTTGGCATTGACAATTCTGTAGGATAATGACAAGAATATAAGATCTGTTTATTTGAATGTAATCATGGTTCATGTTAAAACTGACAGGTCTCCATGTTGTGTCACTACATGAGGAATACTGAGTGCTGGGGTAGCCTTGTTGTTAAAGTGTTCGCTTGTCATGATGAAGGCCCAGGTTTGATTCCCCACATGGGTACACTACTACAATGTGTGAAGCCAAATTTCTGGTTTCAATGCTGTGATATTACTGGAACATTGCTAAAAGCTGTGCTAAACCCAACTAGTTCGGTCATATAGATAACCATAAGGTTCCCAGGTGAAGCATATGCTGAAGAGATGGTCAGTTCCATGTCATGGCTATTTGTATCAAATGTTTGATTAAATTTTTCACTGCCGACCATGATATAGCTTGAATATTGCAGACTGCAGTATCCAACAACAAACACTTACAAGTATCATAACTCATGCAAGACAAGATATGTTTACATTATTTAACCTGCTCCTTGCAAAACTGGAGCATAGTTTGTTTTATTACTTTGTACAGATGGACGTGTCAGGTGCATGTTCAAAGAGCACTGTTCACCCGTTGACAAAACACAATGCCATTATAAGGTCCCCCCTCTGAATAGACTACCCCACCCTGAATAAACTGAATGAATGAGGGACATATATTCCATTTCACTCTTCGTGAATGGACAAGCAAGGACATATGAGTGTTATTATGAAACCTCCTTCCTGCCACAAAGTACATATTCAGTGCTGGTAATAGGATTATGCATTTCGGCCAGCATGAATGTTCATGACAGCCTTTCATATATATTGGCATGCATGGGTCTGTGTCAGTGGATGAAAGCCTGCTAATGCAATCATGTTGTTGAGGCAAGATTTAGCCCTTGGCAACGTGGTAATATTATGATGTGGAACTGTTGTCTCCAGAGGTTTACATTAAGCACTCCGAGTTAAGCTTGTTTAGTCATGTCGTGTTGCAGGGTGTAGTTTGTTGTTGTTGTCAGATTGTGTTTTCGGAACAATCATCATTGATTTGTGACAGCGAACATAAACACATGAGAAGTAAAGTTATTAATAGAATGCTGGGGTAGCATTATTAGTGGTAACAGCATTTGCTTCTTATGATGAAGACCCGGGTTTCATTCCCCACATTTGTAGAATCAAGCCCTTTACTGGTGTCCCCTGCCATGATATTGCTGGAATATTGCTTATTAAAAAGCGGCGTAAAACTAAACTCACTCACTCACAGTATCTTACATCATGGTGTTGCTGGAATGCTACATTGGAGGCATTAAACTATACTTACTCTCTCTTTAATATAATTCTATGTTTGTAGTATAGAAAAAGTATCCAATTGTCTTAATATGTTTGGTCTAACAATACCATTGTTCAGGAAATAGTATTTTACATTTTGCTTTTGCAAAAGAATTATGCACTCTGATGTTGAGGCGGTGTTACCAGGGTCAGTGGTGACTGTGTTGCCTTGTAGGCTGAGGATATGGGTTTGGCTGATTGAAACAAGGGTATGATGGTGTCCCCCATGCTCACAATCACCCACTACTCTGATGTCACAGGCACAGGACTAAAATCAGCAGGAAACTCAGGACTCAAGTATTGAATGATGAGATGCAATAATTATTGAGATGAATCCATGTGTCTCAAATATATCTCCATATCTGTACTTGTAGTGAATGAAAAAAATCAGGAAAGAAAATAATCATAATAATACCTTTAATTCAAGTTGCAAGGAAATCTGTCAAATAAATTCATTTCCCACCCCTTATTGTAACATTATGGAATGTCTCTGTATTCCTAAAAGGTAGCATTTCCATTAATACAATATGATGTAAAATAGGTTTCAATGGTCTTAAAATATAGCTGGAATATTGCTAAAAGCGGCGAAAAAAAAACTAAACTCACTCACTCACTCAATGGTCTTTAACAAAGCAGAATAAATCATGTTGATAGTATGTCCACTGAACACTGGTTTAAAATATGGGATTGAGGGGTAGCCGAGTGGTTAAAGCTTTCACTTGTCATGCCATAGACCAGGGTTTGATTCCCCACATGGGTGCAGTGTGTGAAGCCCATTTCTGGTGTTCCCTTGCTGTGATATTGCTGGAATATTGCTAAAAGCGGTGTAAAACTCCATACACACAAGATGTTTAAAATATGTTTCTCATTTTTTTCTGCTTCATCTCATCACTGGACCCATACATAATTGAATATAATGATAGGAGTGCATAAACTCTCAGAATATATTTAATAATTAGACTGGATTAGTTTGCATTACTTGAATGACTCACATCTTGTTATAACAGTGTTATTTCTACTGATTTGATAATTGGTTTCACAAATATACGTGATGTAGGGAGCTGACCCTGGATCTTCAAAGCGCTGGTAGCCAATGTTTTACCTTCTAGACTGCGCAAAGAACATGTAAGCAGAAAACTATTATAATCACATGAGACAAAAATACAAAAAGCTTAACACAAGCAATATGGCCTGGTCTTAAGGTAAATACTGCCCAGGTTAAGATTATTAAGACATGGGATTATCTGCCAGTGCCTTAGGCAGTGTATTGGTTTACAGTTAAGATATTAGTGTTTGCACTAATCTACAAGAAGCTTCTAGTGAGGAATTAACGAAATGCTGATCTGTATTAAAGACTAGGATTATTATTGTACTAATATGATTATTGTGTACTGAAACATTAATAATTCTCATTTTTTTTCTATTTTTACACTCATGTGTTATTTTCTCATATAAAAAGTGTATTATTAAATAAAAATATTCTTTGCAGACTGCTGCCAAGTTTGTTCTCCGTAGGACACGAAAGGACCTGAATACACTGAAAAAAGAGGTTGAAAGTGGGAGGTAGGTGTCATGTTTCACAGGATTATTCATGGAATAACGAGATTCCATAATCACTGGACTTTATATTATCACATGGTTAATGCTCACATCCCTTAATCATCTACAAAGGGACAATACCTTTTGTTCACTGCTGGGCATTTGGTCTTACATGATAACCCTAGACTAGCCAGCCGATACGTGGATGCCAGTGTAGGGGATCACAGTCTCAAACTAACAATTGTCCCTTTTATGAAATGTTATAACTTTGTCTTCAAATTATTTCATAGCTCAACATGATGTACATGGACTGAACAAATTTGGATGTAAATAGTGAATAATGACATTTATGGTTTTGATACAGTCCCTCTAACAGGTACTGATAGGCCTGTCATTGTGGAGGTACCACAAGAGCACAACAATGGTTTCATGAGTCCTGTGATAAAGGGGTGATTTAATGTAATCTGCATATCAACTTACTGGCACCAGACCGTTATATACATTCTCCTGAATAGGTGTAGGTCTTAGGTCAATTTGATTCCCATGTGGGGTTCCTGGGTTACAATAGGTTTGAATATTTGGTGTGGAAAAAATGTCTGGCGCACTCTTGTGGTAAAATGTAGAATAAATCTGTTTATTGAATACCAAGTAATCATTTGACACCAGGTTACTGCTAAGGTTTGGTGGTATAGCCGAGTGGATAATGCTGAGATAAAGGCCTGGGTTTGATTCCCAATATGGAAACAATCTGTGACGCTTATTCACAGTATCATACATCATGGTATTGCTTGAAAGTTGCTGATGTATGGTATTCAGTGATACACACAGAATTTATTGTCTTTATTAGAATGATTATTTAATATTGTTTTTTTTGTAACTTTGAAATATTGGTATTCAGTCAAACTACCTATTTACTAATCTGTTCATAATAGACAAATTAAACTGACTTATCTTCATGTATTAAAGTTATTGACTTCATTCAGTCTGTTATTCCTTGTTTTTAATATTTCATATCATTAACATTTGTTTTAAGTACTCCAGTGAAAAATTAGGAGGGGACTTATGTGTAAATAGTTGTGTTGATGTGAAAACAGAACGTAAATCAGTGAAAACCACTTGTGAGTATCTTGGAGCCTGTTACCTGTATACTTCTACCTGTCTGTTTGCTCTACTGCAATGTAAGCCATACCTGCGTTGTGTTTACTTACACCATGGAAGTCTCATAAAGTACACAACCACTGGTGTGTTTAAATAGCTATAGACCAGACCACCCTGGTAACTAGCTTTCATAAGATCATCAAATGAATCTTTGATGTCATAGCCTATCACAAACAAACAGACATCCTAGAGTGCATCATGATATCCTTTGACAAGAACATAGTGTCTGTCTTATGTGATCATTGGAGGTCCTTTCACAAGATCATCATATACACTTGACAAATTATTATTTATCCTGTACAAGCTCATGACATCTTTGATAAAATCATGATATATTTTTGACAAGATCATTATGTCCTTGGTGAGATCAGATACCATATTGGTCTCTGGTTAGATCTCGATATATTCTTACAAGATCATTATTTCCTTCATGAGATCACTGTATGTCCCAATGACACTTCATGGGATCACTATGTCCCAATGGAGTACAATGCCTAAGAGCATCTCCTGGTGTCCCCATAAGATCACTGGAATATTGCTAAAGAGCATTATGTTCTTCATAAGGTCACCAAACCTCATGGAGTTACTCATGATTATGTTTGATAAAATCATGAATATATTTTTGACAAGATCATTATAATGTCCTTGGTGAGATCAGATACCATATTGGTTTCTGGTTAGATCTCGATATATTCTTACAAGATCATTATGTCCTTCATGAGATCACTATGTCCTAATGGAGTTGTGAGAGCATTATGTTCTTCATAAGATCATTATGTCCTTCATGAGATCATTATGTCCTCCCTGAGAGCATTATGTCCTTCAAGAGATCATTATGCCCTTTATGAGATCCCTTCATGAGAGCATTATGTCCTTCATGAGAGCATTATGTCCTTCATGAGAGCATTATGTCCTTCATGAGATCATTATGTCCTTCATGAGTCCTCCATTATGTCCTTCATGAGATTATGCATTATGTCCTTCATGAGAGCATTATGTCCTTCATGAGATCATTATGTCCTTCATGAGATGAGATGCCTTGTCCTTCATGAGAGCATTGTCCTTCATGTCATTATGTCCTTCATGAGATCATTATGTCCTTCATGAGATCATTATGTCCTTCATGAGATCCTTATGTCCTTCATGAGAGCATTATGTCCTTCATGAGAGCATTATGTCCTTCATGAGATCATTATGTCCTTCATGAGATCCCTTCATGAGAGCATTATGTCCTTCATGAGATCATTATGTCCTTCATGAGAGCATTATGTCCTTCATGAGATCCTTTCATGAGAGCATTCTGTCCTTCATGAGAGCATTATGTCCTTCATGAGATCATTATGTCCTTCATAAGATGAGATCCTTTGGAGTTGTGAGAGCATTATGTCCTTCATGAGATCATTATGTCCTTCATGAGATCATTATGTCCTTCATGAGACCATTATGTCCTTCATGGAGCATTATGTGAGATCATGAGACCATTATGTCCTTCATGAGATCATTATGTCCTTCATGAGATCCTTCATGAGATCATTATGTCCTTCATGAGAGTATTATGTCCTTCATGAGATCATTATGTCCTAATGGAGTTGTGAGAGCATTATGTCCTTCATGAGAGCATTATGTCCTTCATGAGAGTATTATGTCCTTCATGAGAGCATTATGTCTAATGAGTTGTGAGAGCATTATGTCCTTCATGAGATCATTATGTCCTTCATGATCATTATGTCCTTCATGAGAGCATTATGTCCTTCATGAGATCATTATGTCCTTCATGAGAGCATTATGTCCTTCATGAGATCATTATCCCTTCATCATTATGTCCTTCAGATCATTATGTCCTTCATGAGAGCATTATGTCCTTCATGAGATCATTATGTCCTTCATGAGATCATTATGTTCTTCATGAGATCATTATGTCCTTCATGAGATCATTATGTCCTTCATGAGATGAGATCATTATGTCCTTCATGAGAGCATTATGTCCATTCATTATGTCCTTCAGAGAGCATTATGTCCTTCATGAGAGGCATTATGTCTTCTTCATGAGATCCTTCATGAGATATGTCCTTCATGAGATCCTTTCATGAGATCATTATGTCCTTCATGAGATCCTTTCATGAGAGCATTATGTCCTTCATGAGAGTATTATGTCCTTCATGAGATCATTATGTCCTTCATGAGATCCCTTCATGAGATCATTATGTCCTTCATGAGAGCATTATGTCATTATGTCCTTCATGAGATCATTATGTCCTTCATGAGATCATTATGTCATTATGTCCTTCATGAGAGCATTATGTTCTTCATGAGAGATCATTATGTCCTTCATGATGTCCTTCATGTCCTTTCATGAGATCATTATGTCCTTCATGAGACGAGAGAAGCCCTTCATGAGAGCATTATGTCCTTCATGAGATCATTATGTCCTTCATGAGAGATCATTATGTCCTTCATGAGATCATTATGTCCTTCATGAGATCCCTTCATGAGAGCATTATGTCCTTCATGAGATCCTTCATGAGAGCATTATGTCCTTCATGAGATCATTATGTCCTTCATGAGATCATTATGTCCTTCATGAGATCATTATGTCCTTCATGAGATCCCTTCATGAGATCCTTTCATGAGACCATTATGTCCTTCATGAGATCATTATGTCCTTCATTCATGAGATCATTATGTCCTTCATGAGATCATGTCCTTCATGAGAGCATTATGTCCTTCATGAGATCATTATGTCCTTCATGAGATCCTTGTGAGAGCATTATGTCCTCTTCATGAGATCATTATGTCCTTCATGAGATCATTATGTCCTTCATGAGATCATTGTGTCCTTCATGAGATCATTATGTCCTTCATGAGATCCCTTCATGAGAGCATTATGTCCTTCATGAGAGCATTATGTCCTTCATGAGATCATTATGTCCTTCATGAGATCATTATGTCCTTCATGAGATCCCTTCATGAGATCATTATGTCCTTCATGAGATCATTATGTCCTTCATGAGATCCCTTCATGAGATCATTGTGCCCTTCATGAGATCATTATGTCCTTCATGAGATCCCTTCATGAGATCATTATGTCCTTCATGAGACCATTATGTCCTTCATGAGATCATTATGTCCTTCATGAGACCATGATTATGTCCTTCATGAGATCATTATGTCCTTCATGAGATCCCTTCATGAGATCATTATGTCCTTCATGAGACCATTATGTCCTTCATGAGATCATTATGTCCTTCATGAGATCCCTTCATGAGATCATTATGTCCTTCATGAGATCATTATGTCCTTCATGAGATCCATTATGTCCTTCATGAGATCATTATGTCCTTCATGAGATCCATTATGTCCTTCATGAAACCATTATGTCCTTCATGAGATCATTATGTCCTTCATGAGATCATTATGTCCTTCATGAGACCATTATGTCCTTCATGAGATCATTATGTCCTTCATGAGATCATTATGTCCTTCATGAGACCATTATGTCCTTCATGAGATCCCTTCATGAGATCCCTTCATGAGACCATTATGTCCTTCATGAGATCATGGTGCCCTTCATGAGATCCCTTCATGAGAGTATGTCCTTCATGAGATCAAAGTCAGACGCCTAGACCGCTCAGCCACCGCGGTAGTTCCACAAAAATGAAGGCGGTGGGGTAGCCTAGTGGTTAAAGCGTTGGCTCGTCACGCCGAAGACCAGGTTCGATTCCCCACATGGGCACAATGTGTTAAGCCCATTTCTGGTGTCCCCCCCGTGATATTGCTGGAATATTGCTAAAAGCGGCATAAAACTAAACTCAGTCAGTCAGTCCACAAAAATGAAAGTCGGACAACTGGTAGTCTAGACTGCGGACTTTGACTACCAGTTGTCTGACTTCCATTTTTGTGGAAGCCGTGGTGGCTGAGCGGTCTAGGTGTCTGACTTTGTGTGCTGGCGATTAGGTGCTTGACTCCGATGGTGTGGGTTCGAATCCCAGATGGGACTCAACCCCAAAACAGTACTAGAATCTGTACTTTACTAAGAAAGTGTAATCCCAAATATAACATATGTTACAGTTTACCAGAGGTTTTAAAGCATGAATACATAGCTATAGTTGAGTTATCATTAATATGTGTTCTCATCTTAGATGAGATCATCAGAAGTGCTAAATGTTTGATGCAACAATGTTGATGTTTACACACAGTGAGAACATACCAATATCCAAGAGGAATGTCATAGCTCCTCTAAATGAGTTCTCTGTTATTAGCTGCTCTTATATTGGGGAAAGATTATACTGTCTTTACTATGTATGGACAGCTAAGTGTATCATACAATTTTTCCACAACATTTTATCTGTTAAACATTGGTCTGTTGTTTTTCCTTGCTTTGTAAATAACTTTGAAATATGTTAATCTCTTGTCAGTAGCTTAGTGACAACATATGTAAATGTGATGTTAATGACACCATGAAGAAAAACTGGATTTGATGTAAGTGTGTACATGAATCTGTAAATCCGAGCACATGAAGTTTTCAGAAAACACAAACCAGTGCATTGTTTTGATACATTTTAATTATTGCAATGAAACTGTATTTGATGTAAATGTGCACATAAATCTGTAAATTATGCATGTGATGAATTTTCAGAAGACACAAAATCAGTGCTTTGTTTCGGTACTCTTTGAAGTAGTAGAAACTGTGTTAATCCAGCGACCAGGTCATGGCTGAAGATGTCTTATACAGATCAGAGAACCCCTTTAAACATCCTGGCAACTTGCTACATGTGTCTCCTGGAATCTGGTTGCATGGTGTTGATGTATTGATTGACATGAGGGATTGGTGTCAATTGCTACATAGGTTCTCATTAAGAGAGATCACGCCAATATACATCAGGTGGGGGCTGCAATAAACAAGTCATTAACACCCGCGCACATAGCAACACACAATGTGTTTATGTCGAGACATGGGGCCATGGGCTTCTGTTCTGCCAGCAGTGCAGAACATTGTACACAGGACAATAGGGAATGCTGCTCAGGAAGTGACTGAAATGTGGTCTGAGGTTATCTGTTTGTCACGGGTCAGGGTTTGGATTTCTATTATGATTTTGATGTCAACTACAGCCAGATCTAGACCACATGGGGTATTCTTGTAATGTTGAAATGAAATGACATCTAATTTCTTTCCTTTAACTTTACACATGACATTATTGTAAAAAAAAATGAAGATGGTTCGGTGATCAGTATTAGAGTGTTATTTTAAAGTAAAACCTAATGTTTGCTGTTTGTTTTGTCAAATAATTAGCTGTTAATCTGGATGTGGTGGAATGATCATAGGGTTCCTTCCCCTATTAAGTTTAGACCTGTTGGTTTGAGTGGCTGTCTAGAGAAGAAAGTTTTCTATTTTGGTAAATATTTGTATTCAAGAGAGAGAGGAAGTTGGTGGTTGGATCTCTAGCTGTGTCATGTCAAACAGCTAGAGATGGAACCCTACCATGCCTGGCCCCCAACAATATGATGACACCAGTGACTGGTCACCTCACAGTCAGTACACTGGAGCATTCAGGTGAAATCTGGGGTAGCTTAGTGGGTTAACAGTATTCAACAGGACTGGAACAATCTGCGCCACCCATACATGCATGCATGCGCCTATGTAAGTGCAACAGTGTTCAGTGCAATATTACATCCCATTTTCCTCACCATGGAATGGTACACTTGTACAGGTGTTCAAATTAAGAGGGACGTTTACTGCTGCCATATTTAGAGAATAACCAACGAGGTATGAGTGATTATGGGAAATATGCCCGAGTTGAAATAATGTTCACAGTGCCGAGCGAACTGAACATTGATTCAAGATAATTCAAGCCAGTATTTTGTATTTTTGTTTACTCCAGTTTTATCTTCAACTACCTTAAGGGGCGGGGGGTTAGTGGTTAAAGCGTACCAAGATCCGGTTCGATTCCCCACATGGGCACAATGTGTTAAGCCCATTTCTGGTGTTCACCGCCGTGATATTGCTGGAATATTGCTAAAAGCGGCGTAAAACTTAACTCAGTCAGTCAGTCAGTCAACTACCTTAAAGGAGGAAGAACAACAAATATATAATCATCACTTTAAAAAAAAAAAAAGATCAGGGTTTAATTACATTACTGCATTTTGATAATTACTTTCTTGCCCTGCATATAGGTGAGGACTATTATTTTGTGGGAAAATAACCTGTCCTTTTCTTACAAAGGATTCTTCAGATAACTGGTCAGTGGACATAAACGTAACTGGACACATTTTCTCCTGTGACGAATTTCCTTATGTTTATAACTTTGTCAATATTATTCAATCATCTATATACTTGAGAGTCGACAGTGCTGGTCAAAATTATTGACAAAATGATTGCATGACATTGTGCCCTGATGGTGTTGATCAATTTTATGATAATCAGTTGTCTGGCAATGAATATGTATGTATGTATGTAAATGGCAATGAACGTCGTCATATGAGCGAAATATTCTCAAGCACGACGTTAAACCCAATTTCACCTCACCTCACCTTACATGGCAATGGATATCCTGTACCCAACATTATCTGCTGATTATTATTTTTATACCCATCACTGGAAAACACTGTTTAAGAACATATCATGTTATCTTACCCTCACACATAAATGTCGCTTTCTGATTGGCTGAGTGCTTTTCTATTATTTTCAATGTACCCCGCTTACAAGCTAGTAACATTTCAATGTGCCCCGCTGTCAATGGCAACTCATTTGGTACTTCGTGGTAGTATTCTTTATCTCGAATAACATTGAATCACGTATGATGTACGGAAATTACCGATGTTTTGCGAATGCAAATCTAAGGAAGGGAGATAACTCTAAATCTATTTTTCTTGTCAGTAAAATCTAGCGATGGCTACAAAAAGATTTGTACCCGTTCTTCAAATGATTCAAAATTAACATTAAAGTGTTCGGTAAGATAAATACATTGTTCACTGGTCTCGAGGGGCCCATTGGTTGATGTACCCTCGATAAAGATGTTCGGGCTCAGGAACATAAACAAACATCGGGCTCAGGGAACATAAACAAACATCGAGGGTACATCAACCCATGTCCCCCTCGAGACCAGTGAACAACTTGTATTATTGTATGTACAAGATGACATCAAACAGACTATGGTATATCTTTTGAAACGCAGGCAAACTGTAGTGCAAATAGGGTTGCGCAACAAAGAGAAAATGACCAGTCTTCCTATATGCGAGCAAAGCGAGCAAAGGTTGGCAACGTGCTTCCCTCGAATCGGTTCGAAAATATTTTTAACATCAAAATAAAATATCCCCACCATCAAAGGTAGATACCCATTTCCTCATTGGGTTGTTCTCTCAGATTTCCAACCTCATATTTAATAATTACTCATGTAAAACATATTGAATTCAACACTTTAAGCGCCACTCGTGCCATATCAAATCATTCTTCACCTCCATTACCCCTGCCAGCTTCCGGTTCAACGGAGTGAAGGAACAGGGGACTTAAATCTAAATATACTTGTTGAATGTCCGCCATATGGGACATATTTACATTTAACTGAGCAATTCAACATTTTCATTTGGAGACAAACGGACAATATTCATACTTGCCCAAGGTACTAAACAACATTGTCATGCTAACTGAAAAAAAAGTATTAAACACAAATCTGATTTCATTTTCTGTTAGTATGAAATGTATGAATATATTAATTACAACCATTTTGTTTATGATGAATAAGTTACCAATTTCGGATGACATCATTTACATTATTAAGGATTCAACTTAGAAATCAACCTACTGTTTCCCCCAAGCATGGATCAATTCTCATGTTAAACATGAAGCTTGCTTGTCTTCTATTGACTAGCAATATTTCATCTTGGCAGGTAAATCTGATGAGATTTCTGTTGAGATAATGAACATGCTGCTCATTGTTATACAATCAATATACGTCACCAGCCACATTAAGCTCTAATTACAGTCAATGAACTACTGACTACTCATGTCTGGGTATATGCTTATACCTTTCCTATACCTTACCTATGATTCATGACTGCCCTTGGTGGGTAGTTGATAAGACATATGCTTGTAAGCGGACGTTTGGTGGTTGGATCCTGGCCTGATTACACCTAATGAGGCTAAAATATGGTACTTTTTGTTACCTTGCCTGGCACTAAACCTTACTGGGAAACCTGTGATATTTTCTGCAATATTGCTAAAAGTGCTGTAAAACCATATTCACTCACTGATAGTCATCCCTAACTGAGTCAGTGGCATATGACTAATACAAAACTACAGTACACCACACCCACCCATAATACATGTACCATCATAGGTGCAATAACCTCGTTATACCCCACCTTACGTCACCACAATCATGATAAGACAAACCCCAGTCGAGGTAGCCATGCAATGAGTATATTTGCTAGGAAACGGGTATTCTTTTGTCAGCTTGGATTAAGGACTATTCATATATTGATGGTGTCAGTTGATGGCCCGTACGTGTGATGTCTCCCCAAGAGGCTGTGATTACGTCCACGTCAGTCATGTTTTATTTGAGGTCATGCCGACAATGTTCACGTGCCAATCCTCATCTTGCAGGAACATGATCCGGAATGTGAAGCTAGGCCATGGATTGTTTCAACTCATCAAACATGAGAGGGAGACAAAAGTGAGTATTACAGAACATCAAGACGAGACTAATCCATGCCTCTGTCCGTACCCCAGTGAAGATCGGGGTTAGTGATGGGGCTTATGGATTTGCTGCATGTATTGTATTCCAATTGTAAAGATTGGTGCTGAACATAGCAATCACCAGGTTGTTTGAACTTGGTTCCTTTGGGTATATTTACTTTCTTGGGTCCAGTTTATTGGCTGTTCTTACACTTCTTTTATCACTTCCTGTGCCGCCCCGAGTGTCTAACAAGATGCTGTGTCACAGCATAATATAGTGAGAGAAACAAATAAAGGAACACAGGAACATTCAATATTTTCCAGTTTTCATCACCAGCTTTGAATAGCGCTGTGGGAGGAAATCTGAGAATAAATAAAGGAACACTGCCATGAAGTGGTGTTGCCTTATTTGTTTCCCTCAGTATATATATTACAGCATGCCAAAGTTTCTTGCAGACATGGTTTTATGCCTGCTAGCTTTATCTGAATTAGTAAGAATACCACAGTTAAGCATTTATCCACTACGTTAACAAATACACAACAGAAACAGGAGTTTTTCCAACTAGAACTTGTTCATTGAGAAAATATTGCAAATATTGGGAGAATGGCATCTCAAGTCTTTAATTTGATGCAAGTTGGTATGCAAGTGCAGATATAATGCCAACAGATTGGGGGATTCAGGCAGGAAACATAGGAGATGTACCTTACATATATATTATCATTGCACATTAACAGTAATAGAATGGGTCTCAGTCTTAGCCAATCAGAATCCAACATTCATCACCTTACATGTTCTCAGGGTATTTTGAAAATGATATGATTGGACTTGGGAAATTCATGTCTGAGGTAAATATATAAATATACATATGACATGCTCAGACAAGTTCATCTGACAATGTGAGACCAGCATATTACCTTCGGCTTGTTACAGAGTGCAGCTCTCTATGCTGAAAAGAGGAAGAAGGAGGAAGAGGCGCGGAATGCGTGGCAGGCACCGAAGCGAGACAGCGACACTGACAGCGACAGTGAGGCAGATGAGGAGCTGGGGGAGGATGTGGATCTGACTGGGTAGGGTTGCCAGGCAATGGCAAAGGAACAGTTTCTGTTTACAATTTTCATTCATATCTATTTAGAATGAAGTTTAATTTTCTGGTGTTGAAAGAAATGTTTCTCAGAATTTGCAGAAGAGGTATTATTCAAATTGTAATGATTATGTTTGTGTGTGTTGCTTTTTGTGACTAGTTGTTACACAGATGTTGTGTGAAGCACATGCATGCATGTTCAGCAGCTGCACCTTCTGCAGGCTTTGTGTTGGCGGCAATCTCACAGAATCTAATAATTGAAGAAGTTTTTTGGAGAAAAACAATCCACCATTGACAATGTCTGCTGTCAGCCAAGTTACTGTACCTGACAACACTATCTAAGGGTCCATGCCATTGGATACTGGGGAATGGTTCAACTCCAGATTCCCCTTGTGGAATTGGGTTACCGAGGTTTCATTGTAGCTTTGTGATTTCCTCAAAATATTTGTCAAACATAAGCCCAGTCAATTGGTAACAGACATTTCCTTTTGACTGGAAACAGTTGTCAAGAGAACATGATAACAAGATTTAATGCAGATGAATAAAGGGGATCAAATGAAGTATGTTCTGTGATGATGATGGCTCATGTGCTTTCTGGCATTCTCTGAGTTCAGTAGATTTAGCATAGGCCAACTCTTTGTAGTGCACACACAGTGCTAGTGCTATTCCAATAAAGGCAATGCAGATATAACTGTTTCATATCAGAAATACATAAACTGAAAATAAAACCAGAACACAAAAATGCTTCCACAGCACTAATTTGTAATTAAACTTTTAGACCATACCATGTTTGTACACATGTTTTCTTGGTAAAAATGATAAGATGGGAGCAAAAAATCTATTTAGAAGTTGCCAAGGTTGATTTGAAGTTACATTTCTGAAACATAAGTAAAAGTTCTAAAACAATCAAGTAAAATTTACCAAATGAGCATCACCATATATCTTCACTGGAAGAAGACCAGGTGGTATCCAAAACACAGTTACTTATTAATAGTTATGACACCAGCATGCATGTGAACCATGAAAAGAGCATACAGTACGTGGTTTTCAAAAGTTTTTCTTTTCATCTCATGCCTTCATGAATTATAGAAATTACTCCTTTTTAGTTTAACTTCAGTAACAGTAACCAGTGCTGTAACACAACTACATTGTATACAAACAATGTATGAAGCTATAGGTATGCCTAACCTTTTAAGATATGTTGTTAAACTTCCATTATTCTAATGTTGGGTAATGACAAAGACCGTTGACTTTTATTCCCCAATTTAACATCTGTATTATGAAATGTTTATTGTTGTAAAGTGACATTTGGGTGGATGTTTGTCCATGTATGTCTGCATTGTTGTAAAGTATAGCCATAGTCACAATGCTACAGTTGTATGTGAGTGTAGTAACTGGTTATGCTAGGGTTACACTATGTCCCCGGCGGCCACGGCAGCCCCGTTTCACCGAAACAGGGACAAAACGGGATGGACGTTAGACTAAATTAAGCCAATGTGACAGTCCGTGATTGATGTGGATGCAGTGCCAGATTTTTAAACTGGCAGCCACGGTACTAATGAGAAAACTAGTAGACTGTAGTAAAACACGGGACAAACGTGACAGCACTTAATAGGCCATAACAAAACTTGTAGACGGTCCATAGTGGGTCCGCAGTGGGATGGAAGGCATGTGTATTCCCGGCATCTCATTATCCTTTCAAGTTTTTATTATGTTCGACCACGTTTATTTGGCGTTTTGTCCCGGTTGTTTCACCCTTGCTGCCTGTTTTGTCCCGGTTCTCACGGCAAGCTAGGTTGTATGGTGGCTGATTCGTCCCATTCTATCACGACGCATCCTGGCATGTGATGGTTTACAGGGCAGGCGAGATAAAGCACGTTGCATTCTCTGGCATTCCCTCTCTGCAGCTGATGATCGCCTTCTTGCTGACGCAAGGGCTCAATGTATGCCCCCAGCAAACATACAAACACAAAATCTTCTTCATCTTGGGGGTTTATGCTGCTCTTGTGTCTAAGGGTACAATGGCTGCTATTGCTTGGAGGCCTTATTTTTATACCGTGGGCACAAACGTGGTTCAAAGCTGGCGTTTTATTTGTAGAAAGTCTTGACAGAACGCGCAAAACATGTCAAAACCTTGATCAAAACGTGAGAAATGTGAGGGAACCCATCAGAATGGCGGAGGAATGTAATGGCATCCGTAGTGGACTGCAGGCTGAACCGTAGTGCGCCTTTGAGCTTCCAGGACTCAGCAGCCCATTTTTCCCAACAGCCAATCACGGATACCAAGATAGACTGAGAAAACTTACCAGCACCTAACAAAACTTGACTCTGTTGGGAAACAATGGCCAAAATCCCATGGCGCACTACGTTTCGGGGAAGCGGGGCTGCCGTAGGTGCCGGGGACATAGTGTAACCCTAGCATTAGTCTGCAGTATAGACAGTGTAGTAGAGACTCACACAGAATACCTGCTTCTCCAGCATGGCAATGTTGATCTGTGTAACACAAGTATAGACTGTCTTTCCCAATAGTCCTTCCCCAACTACATGTATCCCAGTTGAAAATATATATCATCAACTTCCTGAACGACATATCAGAAGCAGAATCTGTCCATATTGGAATGTCTCCTTGATGGCCAAACAATATTGCCTTGACCAAGATTTAACACATCTTCATGATTGTTCTCATGAAAAAGAACTGAGTTTTCAGTAACAGCATTTAGCATGGTGTCTGTCTAAGAAAGTATTTGCTTTTAAAGAAGTGAAAATGCTTGTGATTACATATCAGTTGAGGATAAGAACTGGTGTCATGGTTGGACAGATTCTACTTGGGTTGTGTCTCTGTGTATAGGCTCGGTTTCCCCGTTCCACTTCCTGTATCATAGCCATTGTAACCTTTCATACATGCCATGGAGAAATAGAACCATGGAATCTATTTTCAAATATTAGTCATCTTTACTTTACATATTTTCCTATTTTATGATTAATTAATAAACCTTGGAGTGAATTAATAAAACTTTAGTGTAAATTTGAGATTGTTCTTTATAAATGCAAATTTCTAAATAACACATAAGATGAAATTCATTAGCTTCACTTAATGGACACTTGATTTCAGGTATGTCTTAATTCAGTTGTTCTATTTGCCTAAATGCTGATTATAATTTTGAAGCTATATGGACGAGTTGATGCATGACGATGATGAGGAAGAATTTCATTTGACCTTGACATCTGAACCCATTCCTGACCCCCTGGAAAGGGACGTGTTTAGTGGGTTTGTATATATTGAAAGAAAATCAAAATTATTATTATTATGCAAGTCTCACACCAGTCAGTCAGTAACTGGCTGTATCATGATTTAATTTATATATTTCTGAATATGTATAAGTTGTTTATGAACAATATTACCAGATAGAAGAGTAAGATAGAATGGGTTTTTAAAGGCATTTTTCAGGTGTTTTATAAATCAGTTGAAGACACATAATATTTTATCAGTTGGTTATGTTCAAACAGTATACCTGCAACATCTCACCCTGTTCTGTTTATAAACAGGTACACCTGTGTGCATCAAAAGTTATTCATTGTTCAAGTGATTTGATACAAGTCATTATCCATTTGTGGGTACCCATACATTTTATGGGATACCTGTCACACATAGTTGTGTGACACTACCAATAACGCAGCAAGTGGCAGTGTGGCTCCTGGAAATAGAAGCACATGAAGTTCCAAATAAGCAGAAAAAGGTTTAAACTATGATAAAACAATGAAATTGAATATCAAAGCAATTCATTAACATTGAATATCAAACATGAACTTTTAAAAAAATTCATAAACAGTTTCATGTGTCAGAGACACATTTATAAAAAAATGCAGTATAAACATCAACTGACATGTTAGTATAAAAACATGCAGTATAAACATTAACTGACATTTTAGCATTTTGTAAGAAAGGGCATATGTGGGGGCAAGAACCCTCAACCATTCTTGGCATTTATTGCAACTGTGAATATTGTTAACAGCAGTGTAAACCTGTACTTACTGAACTATCTAAATTGAATCGGTTTTATCAATATGTCTTAGGGTAGAGGCAATGTAATAGGGACAGGTGTCTGTGTTGACTAGCATTCCCTGCTGATACTAAACCTTAGCTTTTGGAATAATACAGAAGTGTAGTATATTATCTGATATTTTCAGCTCTGTTTTAACAATCCTCTGATTCTAAGATTTAATTAGTATCTATGTCTACTAATACATTTTGATGTAGAATCTGCTTACTAATACTCTATGGTTGTGGTGATATTCACCTTCAAACTGCTTTTAACATGAAATGATTCACCTTTCTGTGTGAGACCTTTCGTGCTGCCTAACATTCAAGTTTGTTCTTAACTGATTTTGTACTGTTATAATTGACAATGTTTTATCACATGGAGTGATTGTGAATATTAATATTATTTATCTACCTTGGTTTGATGATTATTTCATATATGGGTTAAGTCTGCCATTCCATCAATTACAATTACAGGAAACATTGGAGAGAAAGAACATCAAATGTCATGTTAACATGTGTAATAGAAAACACACAGGTCTGATAAATGTAATATTTTCCTCAGATTTAGTGAAAATATTTTAGTTTTTATGACCACAAGTTCTTAATATTTGAAATATGTGTGTACAATTTTTAGTTTTCTCAACAGCAGGAACAATAGGTTAGAAGTTATTCATTTAAACATTTTCATTATCTGATACAGCATGTTTTGTGAGATTGATCAGATAAGAGACTAAAGCTCTATGTCAGCCAGAAAGGTTGTTTAATTATGGATATAACAAATACTGCTACAGGTTAGCTTCTTTATTTTCCTTTAACAGAGGTTGAATGGGGGAGGTTGGATGGGGAGGTTGTGTTGGTGAACAGCTGTAGTAAATATGTCATGGGCTATTTAGTTGAAAGTCAACAACAAGACTTATTGTTTCGGGGCTCCTCATGGGCTATTTAGGTTAACCTGGTCCCATTCTTTAACATAACAAGTGACTTATTGTTCTTTGTGAAAGGGGCCCTTCACTATTTTCAGGGGCTTAATTCAGACATATTTCATATTTTTGCCATTTGTGAAGTATATTTGGAATGGCATTATCTTGTTTTTTTTAATTTGAAATACAAAGGAATCCAATACATATACGAAACGGTTTTCCCCAAACTTTTAAAGAACTGAAGGATTTTTTATCAAGTAATATGAATGTGTTAGGTTTACGATTTAGATGCTGAATGGGTTAAATGGTTTGTAAAACTTGTTGTAACCTTTGATAACTAGGATGGGCTATACAGATCTGGATTCCAAACCATCAAGTGCCAAGACAGTGCCTAGTGCTCGGAAGAAGAAGAATGTACTACCACGCCCTTACACTCCCCAGCACACAAACCTGGCCGTCGTGTCAGATGACCGAACGCCAGACATGTCAAGGTCAGTCTGGCACAATTAAAACCCCACTTTGGTTAATGTCAGTAGCATGTAGAACAAGACAGCGAGATGGAGAAGCTTGGTATGGAGAGTATTGATTCTTTCATTGAGAAATCATGAGAATTTGTTGAATTGTGAAGAGGAGATTTGATTCTACTGAGAGAATCTTAGGATTATTCCTTCTTTAGTCTTGTTAGTTGTTGATAAAATGACCTACTGTTATGTTAGTTAAATTTGTTGGAATACATGTTTAGCATGAAGTTATATTAATGGTTTTAATTTAAAGTTTAATACTGAGACTGAGAGAACCCTGAAACTATCTGACCCACCCAAATATATTGCCAAATAAAAGCAGGAATTATTATGTAATCATGATTGGAAATAGAATTTCTTTCTCCCTGGTGTACGATGTAATTTTTTGACGACTGACTGGACTGAGTTTGGTTTAAATAATTTTTTGAAGAATAAAATAGACAAATGATTCATCAAGCAAAAGATATATGCTGTTGCTCACGTTCTTTGCACTTTCTGTCACATGGTTATCATGCATGATTTGTTTCCCCATTTTAAAAAAGAAAAATAGAAAAGACTGTTTCTGTCTTTGAAATGAATCCCTCCATCTGCCTTTACTGGGGGCTCTGAGAATGTGGTATTTTGAAAAAAGGGTTATGTGATGTTTTATTCATTTCAGACAAGCCTTGTTCCGTCAGCTGTGTGTTTTGAACTGGATCCTAGAAGCTATGAACATAGATCAAGGCTATGACATGTGCCCCATCACCAAATCCTGGAGCTTCCTGTAAGTATAGGAGAACAAGGCCATAACCATATTGTCATGAGTGTAGTGTACACTTATTTCCACCCCAAACACAGCTGTGTAGTATGAATGGTGGGTGCACATTGTACATGCCATAATGAAGTTTGGAGTTTAAATCCCAAAGTAGTCATTACCATGAGCACCTCATACCACTGGGCTACTGGACAAGTGAAGAGATCTGCTTCTGTTCAAGGTTGTACTTATTTTTTTATTTCACTGCGATGACTGGCAAATAACAACATTGTGTAATATTTCTTCTACATTTCAGTGAGATAGGCGGCTCCAAGATGAATATAAAGAGAAAGCAGCGAGAAAAACAAGCCGAAAATAAATGGGAGCAATTTGTTACCAACACTTCGACTGGAAAGGTGAATACTTCTTTTTGTGTTGTTTCTGTCCATCAAAGTGTGTAAACCTGAGGCCAAACCCTCATATATAATCCAATATCTTGATTCATTCCTTTTTATGAAGTTTCCCCCAATAAGTGTGGTACATGCATTGCATGACCGTGGCAGCTATGTATCAGCCTTGCAATACAGTCTTGCATTGATACACTACATGATGCAGCCTAGTTTCAGTGCAAAATATGCAATCCAGCTTTTTAGAAATGCACTTCATGAATTTCAGTGCTCAGTGTATCGTGCACTACATGTGTTATAACCTTGTATCAAAGCACTGCATGTGTTATAACCTTGTATCAATGCACTGCATGCTGATTGTTTTCTTTGTATATTCTCTATTGCCGCACTCAGCAATATTCCAGCTATATGGCAGCAGTCTGTAAATAATCGAGTCTGGACCAGACAATCCAGTGATCAACAGCATGATCATCGGTGCACTACATGCATTGTGGCCATATGCCAATGCACTACATGCCTGCATTCAAGCTTTGCATATTTTCATTTTAATTTCTGGCACATAACTCAGACTATAGACAAAACGCTTTCACTGTGGTATTTGACTTTTCCAATTATATAAAAATATAGCATTTTCTAGCTCTTTCTTTTATGATTATGCATGTTTTGATCCACTTTTGTTACCTGGCTGCTATGTCAAAACATTTCTGTGTTCGGAACATGCAGTGTTTATGCCAAAATTATCTTAGTATAGTTTGTTGTTTTTCCTCAAGAAGGGTCTGTGTTGTATTTAAGATTATGTTTGTTTATGCAATACACTTTGTTAGTGCTATTCCCCATGCTTGCTTTGCCTAAGACAAATCCATGGATGAAAGCTATGGGTTTCTTCACTGCCACCAAGCTTTTGGTAAGCTGCCACCCAGTGAGAGGAAGGGCACTTGAGTTCAAAGCTAGATGGAACATGTTGTTTTGGTCATTGCATGGTTGGATTTCTAGTTCTTATTTCCTTTACTTCCTTTGATCCAACTCTTTATTACTCCTTTATTTGGTCCTTTATCATTCATCCATCTATATGACCAAATGACATGCTTCTATGCAGTGGACACCAAACTGTATAATGTTTGAACTCCAGTGCCTATGCTTGAAGATTGCTTGACAATTCTGCTTGACCTAAATTTTCACATGCCAAACAACGAAGATATTTTATGTTTGCTTCTTTTCACTTTTCAAATAAATTCGTTATAAATGAATTTATACCCAATCACCAATCAGCAAAATTCTTTGTTTTAAAAAAATTATGATTGCTAGTAATTTGTTATGTAATGCCTTCCTTGTTTGGTGTTTGGCATGCACTTGCACTTTGCACATGGAATGTTTATAATACTGTGGTAACCTGTCACATGGCTGTCAGACATGCATGTGTTCTGTCAGCTGCTACGTCAGGAGGCACTATAAGGTGTGGTTGATGTTTTCATGCGAAAAATGATAACAGCACACAGTTGTTAAAGACTGACATGATGCACGTTTTTCAGGTTCTACTCATGGTTTGAGTTCATATGGTAGACATTTGAATGTCTGCTACTACTAATTCAAGATGTGAATTCTGTGTGCCATGTTATCATATTCCCCAGATGACTGATACATAATGATACATGTCTTTAAAGAGAGAGCATGTTATATTCTATGTTACATATGGGTTATAAAGATATAAAGATGATGTGCCTGATTTAGCACTTTGGTTTTTCTTTCCTTGACCAGGGGTATAGTAGGCATGTCATCTAAGGTGCAACAGTGCAAGCAGAGTTGTGTCCCTTGACATATCAGGATCAGTGTATCATAGGTTGAATCCCATATTTCCCCCTCATTACTGTCTGGCTGTACCATCCATACCTGTGTGGCTTCCACCAAATTGGTATCATTCTGCAGTGTGAAGCTCTTGATCTTTACAAATTGAACTGATGTGTTGTAAAATGATTGAAATACTCTTCCAAAAGGCATTAAAGAAAACTTTGATTGAACCAATTAGGGCTTTTTTAATGTATTTGCAAAGTTGTTTGCAATGTTATTATTTGGTTATAATTATTATGTATTACTTTTCCTTGATTTTTAACTACTGATTTATATCCTTGATCTGATTCTTACGTGACAAGTGTAAATTTTCCAACACAGACCAACAAACGAATCAGCACTCAGAAGAGCCGGGCATCATTACAGCGTCGTAGCACCCACCTGTACCCCCGAACAGCATCCACATCCATGTCAGCCAGCCCAAGCAGCAGCTCCTCACAGCTCAACATGAGCTCCGGACAGCTCACGCACCATGGCCTGCAAGATAATGTGATTGTGGAGGAGGCCGCGGAAACCATTCCTGAAGAGGAGGATGTGACCTATAACAAAAGTAGGTGTTAGACTGAATGTTGTTTGTCTGGTTCAATAGTCATGGATTAATTTCATAACAGCCAGTCCAAAATAAAAGATCATATATGGTCTCTGTCCTCAAATATCACATTTTATGTCATCAGTATATCAGCCACATAGTGACTTGAATTAGAAGTGCATACATGTATAAAACTGTTGTCAAGGATAGGTATTTCAGATATCAGCAGAGATCAGTAGTGACGAAGACATCTTTCTAAAATATTTCTTTTCGGAATATGCAAAATACCTATGCACCCTCATTTCCTCTCCACAAACAGTTCATACAAAATTCATTGTCTATCTAAACATACATCGTACAAAGATTGAACATGACAATGTGTGTATAGTGATGCTCACCTTTTAGATCAGTATTTCAGGTTTTCTTTAAGGGTTATATTTACAAAAACATGATTCATTTGTGAAATTATACAAATTATTATTTTGTGACATTGTCAGGGTGTCATATTTCATGTTCATGTGACACACATCCTATTGTATGGATGGCCATATCAGTAAACTACATACCTGGAACTGACACACCTGATGTGACCTCCAGGAACCAGATTAGCGACTGGTACTGGTGTCTGTGTGCTTGTAGTACATCTACAAACACCAGAAACATGAAAGAAATTTAATATACTGATGGAGACAAATATTGGAACTAATGAAAGAACAAGTGTTCCTCCATTCATTTGCAGATTTTTACCCATAGTGCAATACAAAGCTTGCAAAGAAGCCTGGAAAAGGATATAGGAACACTTGTACTTTCATGTATTCCCTTATTTGTTTCCTTCAGTATATGATGGTATGCTTGCAGATATTATCCTTTTTGTTGAAAGTACCTAGTGGTAGACTGTTCCTACAATTGTTTGTGTTTCTTATCTATGTTAGACCCAATAACTGAGCACAAATGTACCTGTTAACGATGTTGGATGCAAAATGGGTGTTGTTACAACCAGTTTGTATCTAATCTTTGATAGACCCTGTAACTGTACTGTAATCTGTGTTAGACAACATAACTGTACTCTGTTGTTTCATAGGTAATGATGTAGGTATACAGATAGTGATGTGATTAAATGTATTCTTTCAGAGAAAACGTCAGGTAATGTAACTGTTATGCATCATGCATACAGAGCTTTGCATAGTCAGTATATGTGTGTGTATACTCTACAATAGACTGTGTAACTCAAGATGTTATTTTATGTGTGTGTGTATGTATGTCAAGGTATATTGGTAGATAGCGCATGTGTGAAAAAATACCTTTGGTGGATCCAGAGGGGGGTGCGCAGCCCCCCTTCTCCCCCAACAAAATTGTCCCTGAGGAGCATTTCCCCCTAACCTTTGGAATTCATGATTTAAGTGCACGCTACATCTCCCAAATCCTGGATCCGCTCCTGTATACTAACATAGACTGTGTGACAGGAGAGTTTAGTTAGGTATTTAACTGACTGATGTTGAAGGTCACGGTTGCTTAAATATGCATCAAGATTCTTATGACCCCAACAGGCTATGGTATATGATAATCACCAAACTAACTTAATATCTTGGAAAAGGTTTCCAGCTGTATAAACTTTCATTGACATTTGTGAAAGATCAAAGTCACCAAATGTGACCAGACAATGATCCAAGGTTTGAAAATATCTCCAAGTTTCCTTCTTCTAATATTAAAAAATGTTTGAAATGGGTAGCACAAAATATTCAGAGAAAATCTAGGGATGTGCACTTGTGTTTCATCTAGATGTTCAATATTATGGGAAAATAAGTGCATTGTCACCTTGCAAGTTTTGGTTCACTTACTATCTGGTTATTTAGCCAGGAAAGGGAGTTGTGTCCCTTCACTGTGGTAGTATCCACTGAACTTTGGGTTGAAATTCCATAATGACCAAGATATTGATGCCTGATTACAACGACAAGTGTTTAAAAACTAATGTCCTGCATCTCTTTGAGTGTGCTAAGGATTAAGCTGATAACTGGAAGACAGTTCATAATGCATGACACCTAGGTCACTCTCTCACTATTGTTTTGTAAACTGGTTACCACCTTGAAACGAGCACTGTGATATGATAACCTCTATGTAGAGGTGGGAGATACAGTGCAGAATTTGGACGATGCCTTGTAGCAAGTGGGTGAGTGTGGATTTATGCTGGTTTTAGCACTATTCCAGCAATATCAGGACACATGACATATGTAGGGAATCAAATCTGGGTCTTTAGCATGGCAGGTGAATGCTTTAGCCACTGGGCTACCCCACTGCCCGACGGGATCTTAGATGAATGTGTGGAGCCTAATGGTTAACTGGTGGTTTTCACAGACTCTAACAATGTCTGCTTCTACTGGTACTAATGCATTTTGATGATATTGACAAATGTTTTGTTAAATATGACATGAACATGCTCCCATAGCCTTAGAAAAGCCTTTTCATAGGGAATGGCCAGTTTGTATCTTCACGAATAATATGTATTTTTGGTTGTTGTGTTGAAAGGACACCCAGACCTGGTATTAAGCAGACCAGATTATCTTGTCTTTAGTTTATTAATTCATCAACACTCTTGATTATATTTTCATATTCCTCCACCATGACTGCGTTGTAATGTTTTCTGTGAAGTCGGTAAAAACAAGGCTAATTATTAATTCTAATAATATTTGTTTTGGCAAATCTTTCACATATGACTATCAATATCTGGAGCCTCCTTGTCGGATGAATCAACTAATTCCAAAACAATGAATATGTTTTACAAAGCATGACATTTGTACAGCAAAACAGGCTTGGTGTTAACAAATTAGCCTACACAATCAATGCTTATATTCCCAGACTGGCTGTTCTCTCAGAAACACATACTGTCTGAAACAAAATATATAGCTATGCTCCCAATTTGTTTGTTTAAATATTTTAGTTATTATCATAGCCTTTATTATGCATATAATGTCAGTATAGATGTGTACATATGTTAACAAATTAATATCCTGCTTATACTAAGACACTTTATATTATTGCAAGTTTCAGCTGATAGTTATGCCTTGAGAGTTATTTAATGTAGTCGTGCAACTGACAGTTTTTGCTAGTTGAAAGCAAGATATGCGTTAACAGATTCATTAGCCTGTGTTACACTGATATTACTGGATAAATCATATTTAAGAAATACACTTCGCTCTACCACCATTTATAGTGTAATAAAACACACTTTTGCCCTGAACTATTATAGTTAAAGCACGAGGACGCTTAAGTCCGAGTGCTTTTAACGCTATAATAGTTCAGGGCTTAAAGTGTGTTTTATTACTCTATACATGGTGGTAGGGCTTAACTGTATTTCTTTTCTAAGATGCCAAATTTAATACTTTCTAAAGATAATTACGATTAATTTAAGGCAGAAAACAAACGACGGTGTCGGGTGACCTAAATTAAAAATCCTTGCACAGGGCTAACTGGCGCCTGTTCTATTAATGTGTCTGCCCCTACGCTAAGATCTAACGCTACCAGAAAAACAAATGATAACAGTTTGATGACGGTTTACTTTCGATTAAATATCTTCTCTGAATTATTTTAATTACATCTGTCATTAACGTAAACCATATGGGGCAATATGAACGTTGCATTTCTACTACCAGCGTAAGTTTAGATCAGTACATCCAGAGGAAGTTGAGTAGTCAATTGCGACATTCCACAATTGCATTGTGGGAATGTAAACATTACGAACGCTACCGTCGCTGAAAACTTGTGAGTCGAAATGACACATTTTAACCGTCGTAAAACATAAACGTAATGTTTCCACCAGTGATGTTAGCTGCGTGAAGCAACAGCAAACCAAGAAACTGGATGCAACGGTGTAGTTTACTGTACGAGGCCGTTCGAGGCGATGACAACTGACATGCATCGTGACGTCGTTTACATTGTGACGTAATGTAAAATGGTTCGATTACGAGGGGGCACACTAGAATGGCGCAGTGACGGGATAACGTCATTCAATTGTTACGTCATCAAAAAACTATACCTTTATCGTCTGATAATGTATTTTTTTTCGATTGTTCTAACCGCTAGGCATCTTAGAATATGAGATAAATGTACCTGTTCTTTTATGTCTTAAGACTTTGTGTTAATACTGTCAGATTTAATGCCATGTAATAATATTCATATGAACAGTATGTATATATTTTCTAAAATCAAATCATTGTTTAAGTGAAACAGTTGTCCTCTATATTTCTATTTGGCTCAGTTGTGTCATGACTTTTATAAAAGAGGAAAGACAGTGGTATTCTGTCATGATAAAAACACTCCCTGTAAGCTGTCTATAGGAAGATATTATTTTAGTTATTTGTGATACATTTAATAAGCCAACATATCAAAGATTATATGTATTCCTGAAAATTATCTGATACCTGTGAGTGTATACACAAAGTAATTACTGATGAAACATGAAGTAGTTTGTTTGATGATGAGAATATCATACAGTACATAGATTTTAAAGCCATGTTGTACGTCCGTGCTGCAGGTATATTCAAGTTTCTGGACGAGTACTACGAGAGTCTGAAGCGGGAGTCCCAACAGGAGGAGGAGAGGAAAGAGGCGATGCTGGGACGGACAGACGTCCGGACATCTCTCTCTGACCGTGGCAAAGACAGGTCAGGTTCCCGGAGGAATAGCTCCCCCTTGTACAAGTTATGCTTGCATGCTGTAGTTTATGTGAAAAGATATTTAAAGTCAGTAAATGTGCTGTTCTTAGCCATCTACAAAAACAGAATCAAAACGGAACAAATAATTGTGCTGACATATTTGTTTCTGAAACATAGTTTCCATTTCGGTTGTTTCACACAGATATGAATATTATTTGATGTGTTTGTATGAATGAAATATACTTCTTACCTCAGGAAATCTGAACATGATGGAAGGACATCACGAAAATCAATTTTGAAATCTCCAGAGCGACCAGGAACAGTATGTATATACATTATTTGAAAACAAGATATTCATAGCAAGGCCTTGTTTTGTACACTTTGTGGTATTTGTAGACGTTTTTACAATGGCCTTGAACCGTATATCCCCATCATTCTTTTGCTTGTTATTTTGTTGTTTTCACTCAGCTCTAACTGTTATAGCCTGGAATGAAACAAGTCCAGGTTTCCCTCGGGTTCTGAATCTCCCTGATGTTCCCAACTGTAATTGCTTGTTTCTATCAGCATTATCAGTTCTAAGCATCAGTCTCTGCTATTAGCTCACTTTAGAGTTATTCTTGGTAATTTTGGTTTAATACCTCTGTCTGGACTTGCAGGACCATGATACCATGGGTGGCGGACCAGATCAGAAAGCTTCCCGTGAGCTGAGAGCAGACGTTCATTTTATACGACCAAAAAGGTGAGTTGATATAGATGCCACACACAGGACAGTAAACTGAAGACAATGTCTGCCATTATATAGGGCTCTTGTCAGAACAATTTACTGGATTGTGGCTCTCCTTCCAGTTCACCACAGCTGGTTGAGTACATGGCATCATTGCCTAGCAACCGTCATGCTGGCATGACAACTGAAAGCAGACAGAAGTTTTCCGAGATTCTTGAGGACAAAGCTTTAACACTTCATGACATTCTGGAACAGATGGACAGGTAAGGAGTTTTTCATTTTCATTTTGGTTGCTTGTAATCATTTTATATATTCTCTTAGTTTGTTTTCAAATATGTTTCAAATACCTCGTTCAAATTATCCTTTTGGTGTTTAACCTGTGTCCATGCATGAATGTTAACCACCAGTCCCTCCAGACTGAACCCCCTTTGGGAACTCAGGGCAGGAGAGGTCATGCTTGTCAACCTGTGGATACTCTGAGGCTGACAAGCTTCACAGTATCCCATGCTTGTCAAACATTATGAACTGAATATGATTTTTGTCTTAGAGAAAGGATGGTGAAATGCAGTAGCAAGCTGGTGGGGTTGAAAGCTGAAGGTCACAGTTTCCATCGCACCTTACGAGACATGCGTGAATCCACAGACCGAATCCTCCATCGACCGGCTGAACAACAGAAGAAGGACAAGGATAAAGCAACCAAAAGAAATTGGTAAATAACATTGCAACTATGCCATTAAAATATATATATCAACATGTGTTTAGTTGATTATTGATTTCGGGGTGTCCATGAAATTTGGCGCTCCCAGAAATGGACATTAAGCCTTCAAGAACTGGACTGTTGATTTTGGTTGATGGAATGTTAATCATATTCATTCTCAACTACTGATTGATAATCAAGAATCAACATTTATTGTTCATGACTGTCTTAGACTTATCAGTTCAAAGAAGGATCAGTGTTTTGTGTGTATCTAAAGTTCACAGTACTTCGTGACAGAACACCCTGTGATGTTTGTTATGGCTGTGATACTATACAATAATACTGTCTGTTCTTTAAGGTTCACAGTACTTCGTGACAGAACACCCTGTGATGTTTGTTATGGCTGTGATACTATACAACAATTCTGTCTGTTCTTTAAGGTTCACAGTACTTTGTGACAGAACACCCCGTGATGTTTGTTATGGCTGTGATACTATACAATAATTCTGTCTGTTCTTTAAGGTTCACAGTACTTCGTGACAGTATACCTGAGGAGGTCCGGGAAGGGCTGTGGTATTATAAAACAATCTTGGCTAAACTGGAGAGGTTTGGAATGGTACGTACACTGTCCATCTTTGATGTACCTACATCTTCTCTTGATAGGATTATCACTGTCAGTTATATATGTATAACCAGGGTATTTAGAGTTGAAAACATTATATACATTTTATATATATTTAAGGAAAATTTGAAGTCAAGTTAAGAAGGGTGAATGTACTGGGAAAGTGCGTTGACCAAGCTAACTGAACTGTTATTGATTATTGATAAAGTGGTGATATATATTTCCTAAGACAGTCCTTGCTTAAAAATTTCCTTAAATTGCATGAATTCAGTCTTTCTTCTTCAACCATTCTGTGTGATTTACTGAAAACTTCAGTTCTTGTTTTTGACTTGTAAGCATGACACTAAAAGTTGATTCAGCAGACACATATCCAACAATGTTCGACTTCTAAACAAACCTCAAAGGTGACAAAGTTAGATTGGCCATGCTAGACACATTCAGTAGTGATTTAATTTTAATGTTGTTCCTGTGATTCATGATTGAAGTTCTAGTGTACACAAGCATGAGAATTGATCTTAACTGTTTTATTCATTTAAGGTTTTCTTATTTCCATATCAAGCTTTGCTCTGGCTATTAATGTCACATATCTTTTTGTATTGATAAAGAGAGAATAGTTCCTCTAAGGTAATCCCTATATAAAAGTGATGAATACATGATGATCCTTTCCTACCAGTCTGTCTCTGATGTTTGATGTATCTTCAGTGTTATTATTGAGAGGTCCAGTGGATGAAAAGTACCGGGGTATACAACAAATGGTACACCTTCAACTTCCTACAGTGCAGTGGGGCGGTGGGGTAGCCTAGTGGTTAAAGCGTTGGCTCGTCATGCCGAAGACCCGGGTTCGAATCCCCACATGGGTACAATGTGTGAAGCCCATTTCTGGTGTCCCCCACCGTGATGTTGCTGGAATATTGCTAAAAGCGGCGTAAAACCAAACTCAGTCAGTCAGTCCTACGGTGCAGTTCAGTTCCTCTGGAATGATATATTTTATACCCACATTGACTGTTACTTGTCACGTATAGCATACACATTCGGTAAACCACTGGTTACATTCAGGCAACTTCTTGGAGTGAAATTCGGAAGTTGGTGTGATGAACAAGGAGGATACTTCTATGGATATACAACTTCTTTATTACAATATATGCAATGTTTCATTGTAGATGCTATCACTGTTATCAAGCCTGTGAAGAATTTATCACCTGCGTGATAATTGTGTTAGCATCTACACAGAAACTTGATTGATAATGGTATAAGCATCTACAATTCATCACTTGCTTGACAATGGTGTTAGTATCTACTATGAAATGTCACATATATTGTAATAAAGAAGTATCGATAGAACTGTCCTTCTTGTTCATTCAGGCATGTGCTTGTTCCATCACCTTTCTTTGTAATCCATTATTGCAGTTTTATGAAATAATGGTCTTTTGTCGTATACAACCTGTTCTTCAACTGATCAAAGTAATGTCAATGTACCGTATATTACCGTCTGTAAGACGACCCCATGGATAAGACGACCCCCAAACTTGACCCTTAAAATCAGTGTCAAAATGGTATGTTTCGTGCATGTTTCGTCCCTAAGTCGATCCCCTGCGATGGGGTCCTAATCGCGGCAAACACAGGCCACAGACAACTGGCAGTTACCATAATGATAACTTTGGTCCACATTATTTGTCTTCTGTTGTTTGTTCACGCAAAGTGATACGATGTTGTTTTCTTACCCCTGGAAAACAGTTTGACGAATACGTAACCCATGGATAAGACGACCCCCTTCTACAGACTGCTTTTTTTTATCAAAGTAATGTCAGTGTAATCAGACCTGACGAATGCATGTTTGCATGTGTTTGACACCCTGTATACCCAGCTGACCTTTCAGTAATGACACTGAGTGTATATTAAGTTATGGCTTTCCGTCATAATAACCTGAAAGCATTTTATTTTGATTAGGTGCATTTGGATTTGGATTCAGTACGTCAGACGTCAAAGTTTATGTTTTTATTTGCTCCTTTGGGATAACCTCTAACCTTTTTCAAACACTGGTTCTAAAACCTTCTCTACTGGTTTGGTACCTTTCCGCCATTTTTCATCTTTTTATCAAATTTTATTATTGCTTTGGGGAAAAAAATATTTGCACACTTTGAAGCACACCGCTTGGAACATATTAGATTTTTTATTGAATTGAACCTTTTTATTTTATTTTGTATTATTTACAGCTTGTTATATATCTAACATTTTCTGCGTTATAGTTTTGTATTATATTTTGTATCTATATTAGTTTTTTAATTTTTTTTTGTAATTGTCCTTTTGGATTTTATCACATATATCAGCCATCATAAACTTTTATTTCACTGAACCATAAGCTGTGTTGACTTTTCATCTGATCATAGTGTTAGTCTGAATAAGTGTACAGTAAGACAGCAGGATATTGTTATAAATAGATATTGTTTGGTTATGCAGTAATCCTTGGATGCCTTTTATTTACAAATAACATTTGTTTCCTTAATATTGTTTTACTTTTACCATTCCCTCTTTTTAAACAATTAATTGTTCAATTCTTTTACTAGATTTCAGAAATGAATTTACATGTATGTATCTACTAATATGTTAAGCAGTTTAAAATAGCTTTTTGCATTTTGTATACTCCTAATCTGTGCCACATAGTGCTTGTGTAGTTCCTGATATGATAGTCGCTAAATGCATTGCATGAACGAGGCTATACAAGGTTGCAGCCTTGCCGCTAGGCATCCATCCTATTCAGAAACACATCAGTGGTTAGGGTTTTAGTTTCTGGGGGTAGTAGAGTTGACATTTATGTTTACGTTGAACTACAAAGAGTAAAAGTCATGCAAATAGGTTTTGAATTTTTGTCAATATATGCTTGAACAGTAGTGATGTTTCCTATTTTGCTTTTCCTTTGTTTGTTTAAGTCATGTTTTGCCAAACTATGGGCACCAAGTACCACCTCTATGCTCTATATAATGCATAAAGCTCTGCGTAATGTATACAGTATACCGGGGTACAAAGTAAAAGTCCATCTTGTGTTTCCCAGAATTTGTTTAATTTTAATTCATATTTAATCATTTTGTATTGTAACTTAAATGTTTAACTCAGACCATTCTTCTCTTGGAGTGTTTGAGTCATTTTCTGCTAGTCAGTAAAACCCCAAAGGTTCCTCAAATACCATTACTTTATGTGCTAGACCTACCTAAACGCTGAAGACTGAGTGAGCTGTGTGTGCTCTAGACAGTGTACATGCTTTGGTCACCTGTGTAACAGATGACCTTTCTGGGTGTGCCATTGTCCATCATTCTTTAACTGGAGACCCAATTGTTTATTGTTGTGGAAATCCTTCGGCCCATTTACAAAAGAGTTAGATAGCCATACTGTTATGTTACCAAATACTGCAGTATACAGTGTATCAAGACAGCAACAACAAAACATAACACCATGATGGATGGATAAACATACTTTTGTTATTAACTACACATGAGCAATGATCAGGTGGGTATACACCCAAGCTACAAAATATTTTGACTGAGCTCACAATAATAGTTCCATGAAGCTTATTTGGAAAAAAATGTTATACATTGTATTTGTTAAATTCCATTCTAAGATTATAACTGTGACACTGTAAATGAAACAATTAGGAACAGACAGCTATATAGGTACATGTTAAAACAACAACAGTTATGAGATAACACTGCCAGAAATGGGACAACGCGCTAGACCAATTAAAAGGTGTGATAATCTCACTGCCAGAAATGGGACTAATTCGGGTGGATGGACACTCGCCACTTCCACTTGTCCATCTACTAATTAACTACTTGTTTCCCTTGTTATCTCATAACTGTTGTTGTTTTAACATGTACATATATAGCTGTCTGTTCCTAATAGTTTCATTCACCTGATGAAGGAGTAAGAATATACTTCGAAACCTCGTGACCCTTCACAATAAAGAAGTTGACATCCATAAAACTCTTGTCTTTATGTGTATCACGTCTAAATGCCCTTCAAAGACTCGGTGACACTGTATACATTTCAGGAGCATGGAACTGATTCCTTGATAAATACGTCATAGGCTGTAGACATAGAAAAAGAGATACACTCGTGTCTAGGGTTCAGCAGAAATATAGGGGATTCCAAATTAAATGGAATCACACGAGTGAAACAAGTATTTTAGTTTAGTTTAGTTTTAAAGGGTCAGCAGAAAGAATAGTCCAGTGACATTTCTATTACATTAATCTTTAAAACTTGAGGAAATTATGTACACTTAAAATGGAATGATGAAAGGTGAGCTGCAGTCCCTCTAGTGAGTGATCGGTGCTTGTAGGGATTGCTGTACTAAACCTCTATAGCGTAGAGTGAGTGTGTGATCCACTGTGCTTGTTGTTGAATGCAGCCTAGACTTAGGAGGAAGTCAACCAGAGCCCAGATCCATCAGGTAACGTGTGTCCCAAACATCAGGAAGTAACTGGACCATTACAGCACCGTCATGTCATGTTGTTTGTCAATGAAAACATTAACATATATTTGTTTTATGCCTTCAGTTCACCAAATGTTGAAATCCCTTTATTTGTTTGATGTGGATTGGGTCCAATGATAATTTGCATGACTCAATGGTTATATTGCATCGATGAACTTAATTGTTTTGTCAGATAAACTTGACAAACTGCCTAATAGAGTCTATGAATAAATGTAAAGTAAGCATGTCTCTATTCTGCACCAATGGAGAGTTTGGATAGAATTTATTAGTGGCTAGGGAGTATATTTAGAATTATACTTTTCTACATTTAGTCTATTCTGTCAAGTTCATCTGACGGTGAGGAAAATAATCCAGCAGTTCATCAGTGCCATATGACAGTTATTGGCCCATCCATTAGCACAAGCCCACATTGGCCCATCCATTAGCACAAGCCCACATTGGCCCATCCATTAGCACAAGCCCACATTGGCCCATCCATTAGCACAAGCCCACATTGGCCCATCCATTAGCACAAGCCCACATTGGCCCATCCATTAGCACAAGCCCACATTGGCCCATCCATTAGCACAAGCCCACATTGGCCATTTCACGCTTTGATGCCTACATTTACAAAAACGTGTTCATAAGTAATGAACCTTGGGTACGGTCAAGACCAGAGCAGTCAACACATCAGCCACACTGACCAGTGCCAATATGTCAAGTATTTAATCCAGCTAAGTGACACTAACTTTTAGAATTATTTAACGCCCATTTCGGAATAGGAATACATTTTTGTATTGAATTTCTTAGACACAAATTCATGGTACATGCAAAGTGAAATGCCCATTCGGTGGCAATATTCATGGCTGTTAGTTTGAAGAAGTTGACATGATTGTCAAGCATGCTTTTTACTTTAGATGTGAATTTTGTAGGGTTGTCAGTTTATAGTATGGTTTTCATTGCAATGCAGATATAGTTTTTAGGTGCACTTGTGGCTTCTTGGTTTTGTTGCACTAACAACCTGTTCCACTGACAAGTAGTTGAGTCATTAACACATAGCCTTGAGAAGCACCATGTGAGACACACTTGATTGTCACTTTTCGTTATCATTTTGACCATTACACATTTTACATTGATAGAAGTAAGAGAAACTAAGTAGCAAATGCTATTGTGTTTTTTAATAATAATTATGTATTTAAATGCACAAAACAGTTGACATAAGTTTTAAGCTATTCTCATGATAATTTTAAGAAAATGTCGTTGAATTCAAGAAATGTGTTCATGAATATATTCTTGCTTCTTCATTACTGGAGACTGTTAGCTATTAGTTAGGGACTCAGCTGTTAAAGCGTTTGCCTGTCACCCATGGACACAATGGATGAAAACCCATTTCTGATGTCCCCCACCATAATATTGCTGGAATATTGCTGAACTTGGCATGAAACAGTAACTCACTCACTTTGTTATTTGGATATCCATTGCCAAGGGTAGCCCTGTTTAATGCCGTACAGACTGTGAAAGATGAATTATTTACAAGCATGTAACAAATGAACCCCAAATTGATGAGGGTTGTGAGAGATATATATACATGGCAGTTGTAGTGTTTTTACTGTTCGTTAATTTTGAGTTCGATGAACTTGGGTTGATATTTTGATAACACAGCAGAAATGTCTAACAGAATTGGCAGCCAAGTAATATGTTTTGCTGTTTGATAGGTGGAGAGCACCAGCAAGCAGAGTGTATACAAGTTCCTCAAGGTCCTGGAGACTCTGAGAGACTGGGAACTCTGCAGCCCGGACATCTCCGCCGCCATAGAGTTCTGCCGAGAGAAGGTCGTGGAGATGACGGTGGAGGAGTATGAGGAATGGTTCCAGCAGCAGTTTCCCAAGATACAACGGCCACAGACAGCGCCACCTATGCTGAAGGGCAAAAAGAAGGAGGAAGTTCCTGCAACACCGGAATTCAGTGCTGTCGCTGCCAAACCAAGATATGTTCAATCTGCCTTTGTGCGCAGATCCCAAACGTGATCTCAGACATAAAATGCTGTTTTCATTCATAGTTTCAAACACTATTCAGACAACGATGGTTTTCAGTTTAATTGCACTTGATCTTTGAGGAGTTTTCAGGTCAAAGCTTTTCTGCTGAATAAGAATATTTAAGTTGGGAACTGTGTTAACATACTTATCTTTATGCTTGGTGGAGGCAAAAAGAAGGCACTGCACTTATATCTGGAAGGTTACAACCCATTTGTATATTTACGCTGAAAATAAAATAAGATCATGTATTTACTGGTTCCTGTAATGATGGTTTGTCTTTTTCTAAAATCTAAAAAATATTAATGTTTGGTTTAAATAAACTTGACTTCAGTGAATGTACAGTGTAACAGAATCTTACTGACTAGAAATGTATTCAAAACTTCCTATAAATTTCACAATATTTTGACATTCAGAATGGATGCTAGTTATTCTAAACCCATACCTTGTGAAGCCTTACCATGACTTGTCCCAAAGAGTGAATCTGCTCAAACGAATGCAGCTTGTTGTTTATGAATATCTTTCACCAAACCAAAGTTATTGAAAGACATACAATCTTTCAGACTATAGTATGTATATCATGATCTATGATGTTGTGCACTAGTCGTATGAAACTGTTCAAAGCCAAACCACATGCCTCTTATCCAAAGATGATGACATACCATACCTGCCTTTGAAATCCACAGGGTAGTTGACGAGACTGTGTCTGTGCTGTAGTGTCATATGTGTCTTTTAATGTCATTTGGATCAGTATTTGTAGTTTCTACAAGAACATTAATACTGTTGAATATGCCAAAAATGTTTCTTGTCCGGAGAACATGTTGCATGTTGGATATTTATGTATTGTTTTAAGATTGTTATTTTTAAATGTAATAGTTTTCTATTGCATTCTGCATTAACATGCAAAAATCTGTTGTCAAAGAATGATGCATGTGAAAGGTTTTATAGCACTCTCCTAAGCATTTTTCATCTACAAAATGCACTGTGAAATTCTTGTTAAGCATTCAAAAGCTGATTTTGATTTCCACAAATTATTAAACAAATGCGCATCATTGTGTAGAACAAATATGGTATGTGGGAACTATGATACTACAATGATATAAGTACCAGTGAACCCTGATATAACCTGCCATGATGTGCTATTCATGTGTCTGGGATGGGGTGGAGGGCTATTCACTGCACAGAGTTGTCTCCCTTAGGCATGTCAGAAACCGACAATTTGGTTCAAATCCAGGATTTGTCTTGTTTCTGTTTCTAGGTTTGTCAGCACCATAACCACACTTGTTGATATATAGAATGAAGTGGAGAATCCCAAACATCAACATTGAAACTTCAAGTTGACATGTTGTGATATAACTGAAATACTTTTTAAGCTGTATTATCTCAAATCAACTCACACTCTTATATCAGGTCACACACCACTACATTGTGTCAGGAAGGAGTAATGCTATTTCAGCTGCAAGCGTTTTTTACCAACAGTTCTTGTGCCATTGAAAGTGAGATTTTGTTCAAGTGTTTCCATGTTTTTGCATTTTACAATTGAAACAAGCTAATTACAGTGGTGTTTTTTTAGTTTTTTAAGTTAGATATAGTGCATCTCATCAAACTATAGTGGTATGCAACTTGTTTGGTTTTGAAACACTGATTACTATGTGTGGTCTTCATGATGAAGTTGTCATAGAGTCTGTTGTTTATTTCGAGAATAAGTTGAGGGAAAAAAGAAAAACAGAATTCTTAATGCAGGAACATTTCTAGATTAACAAATATCCATCTAACACTGGGTGAGGTGAAATTGGGTTTAACGTCGTGTCTAACACTGGGGCATATATGAGGTACCTTTGCACTAACATCACACTTGTTTGTGGAAGTATGGCTGCCATACAGCTTGAATATTGTTGAATGCAGCATAAAACTAAACTCACTCACTCATTGTAGAAGTATCACTGCCGAGACAGTAATATGGTTGGGAATGATGGGCCTACACTGAGAATAAAGAGACAATATTTGAAATTCTTTACTAAATTTATTTTCTTTTTGATACCATTATGTATACTTCAAGACTTGTATTCACTGTTATTCCATGATGAGAATTAATGGTAATTACTATATGGACACAAGTAAAGACCATGGACTAGTTTATCAGGATGTCCATCCTATTCTCCAAACAACTGACCACCATTGGAAGGAAACCTGTCATGAATTGTCCATAATAGTGTTGACTTTGACTTCGACCGAATCACATATCTGTATGACACATAAAACACAAGAGTTATAACATATTTCTTTATTGATTTAACATTATAAGATTATTTACACTTTTAATCTTTGATTTGTAGGTATGATTTTGTACTTGTTGTTTTCCTCTTGACCTTATTTACATCTTCATTGTTAATGCTTCTGTTTTGACCGAGAAGCTGATATCGTTTGATAGATATAAGGTGTACTTGTTGAGTTTACTGATGGTTGAGTTTTGTGGACGTTTACAAGTATTTGTCTATTTTTCTGTAAATACCATGTATGTTAATGACCACGGTATCTGTGATATTGTATTTGATACATAATTTAATACCTCAGTTGAAGTCATGTAGAAATATATTACTGTGTATATATTCCATATATGTGGGATGAATAAGGCTATTATCAATAATGCATACATTTCATATGTGGCATGAATGCCTGTTATCAACAATACTTACATTTAAAATATATTCTATTGATTCTTTGAAAATAATAATAATTATTATTAACTATTAAATTATTTTTACATAATTATAATACGGCAGTCCTCTGATTTATGTAAGGACATACAAAAAGGAATGGCCCTTACCAAAGTCAGCTGTGGAAATCAGCAGCTTATTGGGTTTTTTTCTGAACAAACATAGCAGGATGTTTGAGGTATGACAATTGGTTTAAATGTTGATTGTGTAAATGTACTTACATATGAAATATAAGTATGTATGACAGTTCAAACATAATGACAGAGATAAACATTTTTATGTTGAGTATCTCATTTCATTGTTTTGTCCATTGCATTTGGAAAGTTCACTGCACTCTCACATTTTAATTAAACAAAGGCATTGTACTGAATACAATTTGTAATTTTGACCTGAAATAGCTGAGTTGTTTTCCTTTGAAAAAATATCAGCTTTGAATTTGCACCAGTAAATTGTTGCCTGTAATTACTATCATGTTTTTCACCATTCTTGTTACTTAATTTTACACATTCAAAGAATTATGTAATACAAAACAATAGATTTTATGACTTTACAGGATTATGTGGTAGAACACATTAAATGATTAATATGTGATGATAATGATACACTGTTTACTTATAGAGATTAATGATACAATAAATGCTTGGTAGGTTAATCCTTGATGAAGTGAGGACATTTGATATTCGTGGCTTTGTTATTGTGTATATTCCGGTATCTTATTCCACAGTGGCAGTAATCATGATAATATGATGTAGCCATGAACTTCAATAAAAATGCTTTGTTATATAATATATGCTTTATTGTTAGCACAAATACATCCATGAAGATCCAGATTAGAATTGGTCTTTAGTAACCCATGCTTGTTGTAAGATTCAGCTAATGAGATCGGGTGGTCAGGCTCACTGACTTGGTTGACACAGGTCATCATATCCCAACTGCATAGATCAATGCTCATGCTGTTGATCACTGGATTGTCTGGTCCAGTCTTGAGTTTTTGCACATCGCCGCCATACACGCGACCCGAAAAGGACACAAAACCCACGAGACCCAAATGACACATTGCAACCTCTTATTCTCCTTAACCGACTCTACAAGAAGGGAGTATAGGGTACCTATTTAACCCCCAGACACTCCATAGGGGGAACAAGTATTTGATGCAACACGGTGTGTTTTATATTTATTATATGTAACTAAAACAAGACAAATATCATGCTGTGGTCAAATACATGCAACAGGTAGGTAGAAGGCGCATCGAGAGAGGTCCGTCATCTGTGTCTTCAAATCATCGAAACTGAAGACCCAATCCAGCTATTGTGACCAGCATGTTTTGCCTGGGGCAATTTCTATTTAAGCACAGGCATCTCTTACCCTATGAAGATCCAGTTTAGAATTGGTTTTCAGCAACCATGCTTGTCTCAAGGAACTAACATTATTGTGATGTCGTTTGCATCATGGCTTTTGACTACCAATAAGGACATATATACCCATACATAATATATCACATTTCTATCATTAAGATCGTGTTGATTGTCGTTAACTTTTGATTTTAAAGTATTCTGGTGTCACTCGATGGCTTTGTAAACATCTCCCACTTCATGTTACCGTTGCTGAGGATTATAGAACAGGAAATAGAAAGGAAAGCATACCATCATAGAATCAACAATTATATAGTGTCCATCTTGTGTAACAAAATTTACAGACTTAGCCATTGTACGGTTGTTCAATCGGAAGTTCCAACATCGGTACGTCAGTCCACCATTCCAAGTCTCATCACAGAAGAATTCCTGACACCCCGTTCAGTACCACTGTAAATACACGTGTGTGAGGAATAGAATTCCAGAAATTAGGAAAGTAAAGCCTGCACCAACGTCCAGGTAGTAGCTGTAATCCAAGCTGAACCCGGACATTGGGAAGTTCCAGAACCTCAGTCCGGCCAGCAGAAGAGCAGAGAGAACTCCAAGTGCTGCAACATTATAACCATGTCTTATACACTACCGGACAAAAACACACCGGAAATGGGCATTCGATTGTTATGTATTTGATAAGCTTATGTGATCTAATTGGTATACCTTGATAAGGCGTACAGTTGGTACACTGTGGGGCTAGGGGGTAAGGTCTGATTAGATTTATCTTGGGCAAGGGGTTGACCGCGGTAGGGTGAAAACTGGAGTGGTGTCCTCTCATTAGTAAGACAACCCATTAGTTAGACACTTGGTTGAGCGAACAAGTTGTTACCCATTGGGGAAAATGGACTAATCCAACTTTTACCCCATTAGTCAGACATAAAGAGAAGACCGAGATTAGATTAGGCCAATTTTATATAATATTTACCTACATTCAACATCTTTTGTATTTTCGTAATATTTGTCACTTTGTCATAATATCAGACACATATAAGTAAAATTGTCACATTCACTAGTACTACTGGCACAGTATGAAGTTGAAAAGTCAAATTTAGCCAAGCTTCCCAAGCTTTCCAACAGCATCCAAATACTGCATTGGAACTTCCTTGCTCCATCTGCTCTCTCATTCGGCCAAGTTGGTGGTTGATCTCCCTGTAAAGCTTGCGTGGCGGAGGAGCAGCATTGAAGTCAATCTGGGTGATCTTCAACTTGTCGGCCTTCTCAATCTTCTTGAGAATCTCGATCAGTCTGAAGACATTCGGTGACGACTCGAGAGGCTGGCATTCAGACGGCTGTTAAATCCCTCAAGGCAGTTGTTGGTCCTCGGGCCGAATGTCTCATGATGGTTCCACAAGGACAGCCTAAACAGAGAGTCATCATCCACCCACGTAGTGACCATGTAGTTGTTGAAGGAAACGGCGGCTTGAACATCATGGCAAGTGTTCATCACGTCAATCCGACACCCTGGACGATTGCAAGTGGAAGCAGAGGCAAGGCAAACGAACGATTCCACTTTTCAACTTCGGGGTCGTCACGGTAGCTTTCAAAGAGTCCGAGGGCCATATACTGCCTGAGCAAAATGAAAAAAACCCAGTGCATCTCCAGTGCACACAAGTCGTCCTCGTCCTGTTCTTCTTGTAGAGATGGCGATAAAAAAACACACCTGAATCGTACCCCTCTGCGATGTGTTGAACTCTACTTTCTGCAAACCTATCATTATTGTGCAGTAACAGACACTTTGGGAAACATATATACATTGTCAAGTAAAAACATCCGACCTGAGTGTTTTATATATATTGTTTGGTTTACACTTAATAATAATTAAGCCACACTATCAATTGTTCACAAGAAGACTCTTAATATTATGTGAGTAGAACAATTAAAGGGATTAAATTTTAACTGGTCTACCCCTACTCAACTGTCTAGAACTAGTAGGGTGTCTGACTTTTGAGGTATCACCACTATAGTGAGGGAGATACTAGTTTAAGGAGGTTATATGGGGTAAGGGGTGTACAGGGGCAAGGGCTATACTGAGGTATGGTGATATGGGTATAACTTGATAAGTCGTGAACTTGGGCTCAGAGGTGTCTTTTTTGCACCTGTAAGACTCTTCTACTTACTTGCCACAACGCAGTTAGCAGCCGTAGCGAACTCCAGGTACCGACCTCCCCAACGTCTCCAACAGCATGTGGTGTAAATGATGAACAGTACAGGGACGGACACGCCATAGATCAGAGCGACAATCGCGGAGGCACCGACAGGCCCTACTGTGAACACACAAAACAGCTTCAAAGATCAAATATCACAATCTATCATTACTTTTATGTTTAAGACTTGTAATAGAATGGTTGATCTCTTGGAGAATGGTTTTATAAGTGGCAGGACCTTGTCCCCAATCCTTTTCTCGTTGTGAATGATAAGTCATTTTATTGTTAGAACATCATTTATTGTTCACAAAATTCAAACTATCAAAAGTCAGATGTCAAGGAGGAAACGAAGATCGCCAATCATGATTGGGTACTCAGGATTGGGTAAACTAAATTGCATAAATTGATCATCAGACTTACAATACGGTTTTCTTTAAGCTAAGTTGTTACTGAAATATATTTAACATAAGTTGTATCTGTATTATATTTTGATAAACAACAAAACTTGGCCATTATACAACTTGAATACAAATCTTGTAATCTACGTTACGTAACACTACCATATCTATATAGAAATTAAACATTACTAGTGAAATGTTGCTATACTATTACACAGAGTTACATTCAAAGATAAAAAAGAGATTAACTGTTTCTTCGTTTCATTTATTATTAAAAGTACAGACAGTACAGAAGCACAGTGAAAATTCATCCACACTGTAATCACGTTACCTGTTTAGTTTGATGTAGAATATCAACAATGATAAGTCAATTAAAAGTAAATAATCATTTAATGTTTAGAAGAGTTCATGCCTTAGCGTTAGATCCATAAAACTGTCCTACCTGAGTAGCCCAGATAGAGTGTGATCAGTTCTACTCAGTTAAGACAGTCACTGGAAAGTCGTGCACATTTCAATCACGCCACTGAACAAAATGTCCGTCTTGACATGACATTGTGCTTTTGGCGCTTGGATGTCTGCGTCTGTATTACTTCTGGAACCAGTGGACGGTCAGTGCCAAAGGTACGTAACTATTGTGTGCAAACCGAGAAAAAGACGATGCTCCCTTGGAAATGAGGTCACGTAGATTACATAACGTAGATTACACAGACGTCCTTCAACACCCACCTAACGTTTAAAGTGTAAAGGAAGAGCATCTCCTTCACTGATACCCCGTTCGCATGCACCTGCTTACACACGTGAGCCAATTTACACACCACGTAAAAAATACACACATGTGTAAACGTGTCATGCGAACGTAACACACATGGGTATATTTACACAAGGAGCAAATTTGCATGTGGTCTGGATGTCATGTAAATGTATATTCACACATACACGGGTATGGCTATATAACAATGAGCCAAGTACTTAACCTACATATACACGTCACCTTTGGTTAAGCACCACCTGAATCCAAGAGCAATATTTAAATTTTTCATACCCTATCACTGGAATGGAAAAGCATGTGCTTCACACAATATCTCAAAAGCAATGGATCACATGTTCGCCTAAAAAGTGGGTGTGCTTGATTATCGCTCACGTGTAGCTGATAGTTGTTTTTGCTTGTATTTGTCAGAAACAATTACCAACACACTTTCTGTACAAACACTATGTTTATGAACAAGCGTCTCTTCACATTATTTTTATAGAGCATTTCTACTGGAATACAATTCGAAGGTTCTTTCACAGATGAAACTATATCATGTTCGCGGCAAAGGCCTGCATGACATTTTGATGGACCTGGTGACCTGATCCACTGGGTGTAACATCGTCAGCAGGGTCGTCCTGATTCCTAGGTTCCTCCTCACGCTGGTGCTCATCCCACTCATCATCACATATCTGGTTATGCATTTCTCAAACATTTTGCAACAATGCACAGGCAGCAATGATACTGCAGACAAACTGCATTCTTGTACGACTTATAAGTCTGTAATTGAAAACCTTTTTTTCATCTGAAAGCATATCTCTGTGAGAATAAGGTTTGAGAAGCCATGATCTTAGGATGTAAGATCTCCGAGGTTAACTACTGGAATGGCCATCTCCTTGTCGGTGAACATAATCTTCCTTGACCACTGTGGAAATTGAGAAGATTCTTCACCTCGACAAAAGATCTCACTCTTTGAAAACACACTTGCGTCATGGACACGACCAGGTCACCCAATGTTAATGTCTCTGAACACATACTTGTGATCACATATTCCTTGTAGTATCAGTGAGTGCCACCCTTTCTATTGAGGTTG